GCCCCTGCGCCCCACCAGCGCTCCAGTTGCTCCGTGAGCCCGCCGGTGTCACTGCCCTCTTCACAGGCGGGGAAACTGAGGCAGGAGCAGTGAAGTGACTGCTCCTTGCCCCAAATCACCCAATAGCCCTCGGCCGCTGGGCTGCGCTGCATCTAGGCTGCCTGGGCTGAAGGATGTGGCTTAATGAAAGCTAATAATCTTTATCTTAGGTGGCAGCCAGACTTCCATTTTTTTTTCCCCTAGTTCTTCTACCTCTACCACTCGTTGTCTTGTCCTGTACTCCGCTGGGCTGTGCTGCATCTAGGCTGCCTGGGCTGAAGGATGTGGCTTAATGAAAGCTAATAATCTTTATTTTAGGTAGCAGCCAGACTTCCATTTTTTTTTTTTCCCCTAGTTCTTCTACATCTACCACTCATTGTCTTGTCCTATACCGATACCCACTGTCTAGTGTTTGACTAATGTAAAATTTCCCTTTTTTGCTCAGTATTGCATAGTATGTCATTTAAAATTGTGCATTTTAAGTCAAACTCATTCTCTCTTTTCTTGCCCTCTCGTTGTTGCTTGGGGTGGTGTGAGGGAGTCCTCTTTTGCTATTGTACAATGTGGGAAGGCTTATTTGTTGGATAACTTAATATTCTTTCTCCCTATCTAGAACGGGATGGTAACTAAAGATCTGACACGATTGAAAACACTTCTTGCTGAAACAGAGGTAATTATAAGCACTTTATTGGGAAAATACTGAAAAATATCTGATACAGCCGAGAGGCCCCAGGAGATCTGGTCCCCCTGTGGACATACAGGATCCTACCACATAGTTTCCACTAATCTTTTGGTCTTTACCACCTACTCCTCAGCTTTTCATCACTATCTTGGTGTAAAAAAAACATAGAAATATGTTAATAGTTTTTGACTTATGATAGTGAGTGGGGAAAAAAACAAAGCTGTATGTGTCTGTTGTTTAATTCTGGCATTTTTATTTGTTAGAAATGATTCTCAAGTTATTAGCATGACTTAAAAAATGGGTTAGCAAATGTACACACCCCCTCAGTCACCCTTTTTTTGTGTTTGTTAGGAGATTGATCTGTCTATCGATTGAATTGCTACTCCTTTACTTGCTTTTTTTTGCTTCTTAAGTCATTCGTTTCATTTTTACCTTTAATGTAGATTTGAAGTGAAAAGATATCTGAATACATTTTAGACATTGGCTTTTTTACAAGTTTATTGCAATCCACATTAAAATGGTTGCATGATGGAATTAATTCCTATAAAATCTCGATAGCTTTCTTCTAAGGATGAGTGGACTCAGTGTTCCTATCATAGTTTTTTTTTATCAATGACTGTAATTTAGTTTTGTGTTAATAGGAAATTCATGTTTGTGACTAGAATAGATGTCAGACTTCTGCTGAATTATTTTGTATTGGTTGGTCTAAAACACATTGTATCAGCAAAGAAGCCAAAGCAATTTTCATTGGTGAAATATTTATTTTTTCCTTTTTTAATAATTGTAGGCAGCTGGTAAAGTACCATCAGGATACCATGTAGAAGATTTAGAAGAAGGTATGTAACTCAAATCTAAAGCTACTTCATCTTGCAATGAGAAGAAGATTCTGCTGATGGCTCAGCACTAGATAGTGAAATAAAGAGGAAAAATAGCTGGACTGTTTATCTTGATGAGCCATGTGAATTAAGGTTGAGCTATTCATTTATTTGAACATTACTGGTAGAATTTGGAGGCAGAAATTTCTACTTATTGGCCTGCCATCTACTTTGAAACTTGCCTTCATATCCTTAGAACCTTTGTTCTAAATGAATTTGTTAGTGATTGAGAATAGTTTTGCTTGTATGTTAATACATTATGGGCTGATATTTTAAGAAGTGGTTCCCTGGACTATTGTTGTACTTGACTCAGAAATAATTGGAAAATTGAAAAATAACGCAGGTTTTGGATTACTCTGCAGGGTCCCGGGATGGCTGGCAATTCCGCCCTCCACCAAGGGGAGTCACAAGCAGTGAAGAATATACATTATGTAAAAGGTAAAGTCATTGCTTTTTGTCAACATTATCTAAGGGATCATATCATTTCCTCTTTTGTTTAACTGATAACTGAGAATGTCAGGAAAATTAGCTCCTTGTTATAACAAGAGTTGATTCGTTCTCAGATTTTGGGATAGTTCAGTTTATCCAGAGGCATCCTAATGCTCTGTAAAATGGAATCATTAATTCCATTTTATAGGAGAGTAGTTTGAGGAACTTTTTTTTTTCTAGTGGCAAGGTAGCATCTGTCATCTGCCTTTTTATTTTTTTGATTTGTATAATTTTGGAGGTGAGAAAAGTTCACTCCCACAAGCAACTGCGTTGGCAAATTAAAACACAGAGGAGTGTGCTTCGGCCGGAGAGAGGATGCTTGTCTTCAGATAAATGGGATTTGCTGATAAATAGGCTTTGTCTTCAGATAAGCAGCACTTGTAGGATTTCACTCTGCGTCTCTTTCCCATTCTGCATAAGCTGAAATGCACAGACGTGAATCGCTGTGCTAAGGATCCAGTGGCTTGTGTCATATTGGAGTTCTTCCTTCCTGTCTTTTTCAGTTCACTAGCCAATGTTCCCTAGAGTTTGTAATGTTAGCCATGCAAGACTATATTAATATACTGGGGGAGGGGAATATGCACTTGATTCTCCCATATATGTAGCTCAAAGAAATAACTTACCTCTGCGATGTGTAGGAACCTGACCTGCTTTTTAGATTAGATGACCCAATATGCTGAATTTGGGCTGCTTTTGGCCTGTTTTTCTAGAGGTGCTGAATGCTGACAAATCCTGTTGACTTTAGCAGGTCTGGTGCATTGTTCAGCATTTTAGAAAAAGATGATTTTTTAACCCGTTATGACTTTCTGCTTAGTAGCATGTATACCATGTTTCCAAACCTTTCTTTCAAGATATTTACATGAGATTCAAATTTAGTTATGCCTCCAGAGTTTCTATATATTTGGTATCCAAATTATATATTCCTGCCTGGCTTTGATTGCCTCACTTTAATGTGATACTTACATTAACTGTTTGCAGGAAAAAAATATTTCTGTAACAAATGCTTAAGCTCTATAAAATAGATCCTTGGAGACACGTTTCGCAGAGGATGACTGAACCTTTTCCTGCAGAGATCATTTCTGTGTAGGTGTCTTTAGGAGGAAGAACCACAGGATGTCACTGTTGCTCCAGAACGAACGGCTGAATGAGCATATATCAGCTAATAGCGTAACTGTTGGAGGAAATTACATTATATCTTCCCTCTGCCCCTGATTAACAGCATTTTATTCATATTACTACAGTGCCTTGTAATCAGTCTCCTGGATGGCCCATGATATCCTTGCATTAACTTCTCTACAAAGACTTGATTCTTTTTTCTTTGAAGCTGGACATTTCTTAATAGGATTTGTGTCCTGTTATGTTTGAAAGAAATTTGATTCAACTTTCTGGACAGTGCAGTCAGAGAAGCTGCTGCCTCTCTTACAAAATGCGAAATACTTTAATACATTGCCAAATCAGTTACCATAGACTAAAAATGCCATTAGTTCTGTGAGAGAGACTTAACAAGACCTTCTGGCTTTCGAAATAAAGCCTAGATAAATTTCTGTTTTAATTAGAGACTGAAAACTTTGAGGCATAATCGTTTTTCCTATTTTCTGTAGATTTTTAGAGCAAGGGATCTGCAGGTACGGTGCACAGTGTACTTCAGCACATTCCCAGGAAGAGCTAACAGAATGGCAGAAACGATATGCTTCCCGCTTGATCAGATTAAAACAGCAGAAGGAAAACAAACAATGTTCGGGCAGTTATATGGAAACCTTGATTGAGAAATGGATGAATTCGTTATCTCCTGAGAAAGTGGTAAGGAAAATATACTACTTCGCTATGTGCTCATATTTAAAACTAACAGATGAGCCTATTTTTGGCCCTTACTATCAGAGCTGGTCAAATTACTAAGTACCAAGAAATTGTCCAACAATTTTCTTGCCTTTCCATTCTGTCCTCTGTCTGCTTGCAAAGATAGCACAGACTTAGGCTGATTTCTGCAAATGTACTCATCCTTTTAAGGAATCCAGTAAAGTGCTTGCTTGTGGGTTAATCACAGCTTGATTATTTTTGCATATTTACTGCTCCCAGTGCAGGCTGGCTCAGCCGTGTCTCGTGATTTTGTGCCTGTTCCCTGATGGTGTGGAAGAACATTTTAAACTGGAGAACAATAAATGGTTAAACTTCCACTGCTTAGTGGAGAATACTCCTGCTCGTGCATGGCTCTTTTTTTGACTGCGGCTGCAGGCGCTTGTTTGAGGAAGGGCCCTTCCCCAAACATTCAAAAATGTTTAAATAGTGAAGAATGAGGGGTATGGATATGATCAAACTCAGCAGCTGTTTGGAATTCCAGTGAATGTTTTTCGGGGTTCAACCAGCTCTACTTACCACTGACCCTAAGGAGTTTTCGGTCCATCTATTGTTTAAAATTTGGGAAGAGTGGACTTGCTGCAAAATGGATCAATGAGTGAAAGGCCTGGGTTCCGAGTGTCTTTAAAACTTTCATTGAAGTCAGTGAGATCTGGGGATTTTCAGAAATGTAGTCTCTGGGCCTCATTGTTTCAGATACTTCTTTCCAAATGAAATCATATTCTATGTCAGCATTAAGTTGATTTTTCGAAATGAAGTCCTGCCTTAATTGCTCTTAAATGGTTGTACTTTTTGCTTATGCAGTCTGATATAGTAGAGTTGGTTTGCTTGTGTCTCTGAATTCTCTAATTCCTACTTGAGACTTGCATAAATTCTAGCAAGCAATTCTAAAATTGTTCACAATTCTATTCACAAACTAGAAAACCATTCTTTTCACTGTTCTAAAATAGTAGCTTTTCCTGAATGCTTTTATTTTGATATTGTTTGTGGAAGTTTAATGTTATCTTCTTTTTCTTTAAATCTAGCTTAGTGAAAGTATAGAAGGAGTGAGAGTAGAACATAATCCTGAACTGTCAGTAACTGTCACCACCAAAAAGTCTCATCAGACATGGACATTTGCTCTCACTTGTAAGGTAGGACTACTGATCTTTTGAAAGTGGGTCAACAGTAAGAACTGGAATGTAGTACATAGCCTTTTGTGCTTGAGAATTCAATCACAAAATACTTATTTTAAAGTAGAGCTATTTCCTAGCAGCACCACGTTCTTTCTCTCTCAGCTGCTCTGGTGATTACGTATTCAGTCCTCTGATTTTTTGGAAAGTGGGCAGGCCTTGTACCTGTTCTGAGAATTTAGAGTTCTTATGAGCTTTTTTATGATTGCAAATGAAAACAGTCCTGAAATAATTTCCATTTCCCAACATCCTGTCATTTCAACCTCTGCATTTTTTTTATAGCCTGCAAGAATGCTGTATCGAGTGGCATTACTTTATGATGCCCATCGTCCACATTTCAGTATCGTTGCAATATCTGCTGGAGACAGCACTACCCAGGTATCACAAGAAGTTCCAGAAAACTGTCAGGAATGGATAGGAGGAAAGATGGTCCAGAATGGAATAGATCATTATATATACAAAGTCAGTATAGCCTTTACCACAGAAATCTTTGGAACTTTTCGCCAAACTGTTGTGTTTGATTTTGGATTAGAACCAGTCCTCATGCAACGAGTAATGATTGATGCTGCTTCAACAGAAGGTAATGTATGACAACTTTCTTTTTGGGATAGTGGAGGCTCTTTATGCTACATCTTTGCTTTTCATGTATGAACAACATCTTTTGTTAATGGATGTCTTTTACTATATGTTCTTATGTTCATCATGTTGCACGAATATAAATAGTGGATGAAGATTTGGAAAGTGAAAATTGGCCTGGATTCGCTGGGATTAATTGCCGTATGACACTTGCAGTGTGTTAGGATGGCTCCTAAATCTTGTCCGTATGCTAAGTATCACTGAATAGTAGAGTAGTATGTGCCCAAGGGCATCTTTGCAAGCTAAAATACGTGTGTGTGTTAATACTTATTCTTGCATGGATGCTAATGTTAAACATGTAGAAGAGATTACTGGAGAGATGGAAATGCATCTGTGTAAGTATACACCTGATAATTCGTTAATTAAAAGCAGGTTATCTGGGAAGAGGTGTATTTTTTTTCTGTGCAATGTCTGACTGGATTTAAAAAAGGAAGAGACCAAGGTTTATAATACAATAAAATACCAATGTTGGTATGAATTCTGGAAATGCAAAGAATATATAAGTATATATTTTTTATGTGTGCTGATTGAAAATGTAACTACATGTAGCTGTTGTACTCTGTTTACAAAATTGATGTATGCCTCTCATTACAAACCTGGAATCATTTCATTATCAGAAAGACAGTGACAAATTGGAAGATGTTCAAAGAAAAATTAAAAAAAAAAAAAAAAAAAAAAAAAAAAAAAGCTTTGATTTATGGCAAAAGATTAAAAGAGCTAAATATGTGTCACTTGGCAATAAGCAAAGGGTTTGAATAGAGTGTAGCAATTTTCTACAGGTTCAAGAGAGATAACACCAAAAAGACAGAATTGTAGCACTGGGATGTAACCAGGAAAAAGGAGGTGAAAGTAAGAAAACAGCAATTTTCTATTTCTCGCCTTTATTCGCACGTAACAGACTAATGTTTGCAACAAAGATATCGTAAATACCGGATGCCAGAGAGTATGACCTGGTCTTTCCAGGTGACCCAAGCACCTAGCCAGGAGCAGGAAGACTACACGAGTTGAACTGTCTCTTGAAGCAGAGAATGTTGCATTGAGAGTCTCTGCTGAGAAGCAAGGCTGGGGGCTTTGCAGGAGCTCTCGTGTGCTCCCCATGTAATAGTGTGGGCAATCGCAGCCGACAGGTTTACAGAGACACTGGTTTTTTGGAGAGCTGGTGTCCTTTCAGTGTAGAGCTGTTCCAGACCAAGAAAGCAAGCTGATCTATGTGCAAAGTTAAAGTTGTTAATTGTCAGAGTTGTCTGTGCTCTGGTCTTAGTTTGAAAGTAGCTGCTAAGCAGCAGTCCCAGGGGCAGCCAGTGCAGGTGTGCTGGAGGTGCTGGGTGGAGCTGCGAGCGCAGCCTGCGGTGGTTACCGGGATCTCCTTTTCGCACGCTGCCTCCATGCAGGAGAGGCTCACGTGGCTCTTTAAGCAGGGTGTTACTAATGTTTATTTCAAAGTAGAAGAGTAGTAGGTGCTTTATAGCTAAATAGAAATGCAACATCTTGGGCTTTTGGTAACACAAAGTTGACTTAAGAACCCAGAGAGGGTTCCCATATGGGCAGCTGTGCAAACCACCCCGTGGTTACATCGGGCTTTCCCGTGGCAGCTTCTCTAGCGCTGGGAATCCGATGACCATCTTCCTAGCAAACAGGGAATCCCAACCAGCAAATTGTTAAGCTTTTGTGATCTGAGGTACGAGGAGGGCCAGAGAATGCGTCACTTTCTGTGAAACGATTTCCAACACAGCAGCCTCTCAAACGTGGATGTCTTCTTCCTATGCAGCTGTAGCTCCTTGTACAGTTGAGGCTTGAGGTAGACATTTAGCTGTGGCCTCTTTGTGAACAGATATTTCTGAGGCTAGTAAGGGAGACAAAATTCCTGCGGTCATAGTCACGCCTAACCAAGATTTCTTTGGTAAAAGACTTTGCATTATTCCTGTTTAGGTGCTTAATTTGAGATTCAAGTATTAACTAGTTTTTAAGTATAAGTTATTTTTCCTTATTGCTACGAAATCCTGGAAACTTAAATCTGATATAGAAATAATACATTAGAATATTTTACTTTCACTCTCAAGCCCAAATGTTTTCAGCTCTGCAATTTAACTGCACGTTTCACTGCTGCATTGTTGTCAGAGCGTTTTTGTGGTGTTAATGGGTATATTTTCGGTGGCCGTTGGGAGGGCTTAGTTTTCTGCTTCTGATTTAAGCTACATGGTCCCTGAAATCAGAGTAACCTGAAACATTAATTTCCTTCTGGTTTTCTGACGTGGTTATCATTTTGGGTTATATCTCCAGACTTGTGCTTAGCAAACTCACTTCAACTATATGATTGACTGCTTGCAAAATAAACACATAATGCTATAGTATTGTGGAATTTTCTTCTGTTTTTCCAAATGCTTTCGAAATGGTGCAAATTAAAGCCTTTTTTTATCAACTAGCTTATTAACTTGTTTCTATTACCTTGTAAATTTTTGTAACGTAAGTTCTAAGCTTCTATCTGGTATTTTAGAAATAAAATGATGTTACAGTTAGGCTTTGAAACCATGCTGTGCTGGCAAGTCCTTCAAAGTTGCTTGCAGTTCCTTAAATAAAAGAGCTTTCCTGGTTTGTCTGTATGATTTCTGTTTGCAGTCTATAGAATATTTTATTTTCAAGTACTGCTTGAGAACCTGCCTGTTGTCTGTGTACACCTGAAAAGAAGCTGGTGAAGTACAGGCAGTGAACTTGGTAAAGACTTCTGGGCGCAGCAGACTGTCATCTCTAGTTATTTCATTTTTTATGAGTTTTTTTTTTTTAATCGTGTATAGCTAATAATTAGATTTTTGTCTCCCAAACTCAAGATTATTTTGTTTCACTTGTAAGCAGTTGTGGGGCAATCGTGGGAGGAAATTGTGTTCTCCATTTCTGCTTCTCAAAATGGATCACAATGGAGAATTATCTTTGTGGTAGAAGTTTGGAGTGTTTGAACTTCCTTCCTTTCCCTCTTCCATGCAGATCTTGAATACCTGATGCATGCACGGCAACAGCTGCTAACCACAGCCAAGCGTTGGGATTCGACTTCTAAGACTATTGTAGAATTTGAGCCTAATGAAACTACTGAATTGGAGAAGAGCCTTCTTACCAGATACCAAATTCCTCTATCTGCTGACCAGCTATTTACACAATCTGTGCTGGACAAATCATTGACTAAGACCAACTATCAGTCACGGTTGCATGACCTCCTTTATATTGAGGAGATAGCCCAATATAAGGAAGTTAGCAAGTAAGTAATGCATGTATAAAATTGTTTTTTTCATGTTGTAGCTGTCCTGTTAAAATTGGAATATTATTTTGGACATGAGAATAGTAACTTTTTCTTAACTAAGTCTCCCTTATTGCCATTGTAATGCATTGTACAAGGGTTAGTAGCTAAGATATTGTCTTCCTATTTCTTGGCAATAAAACTGTGTGAATCTTGAGAATACTTGGAGTACTTTATTAAAGAACTTAAATTACACTTTTTAAGGGCTAGTTATTAATTGTTTAAAACGAGCTATAACAGTCTGTGCTTTAAATTGGAGGTGCTAAGCATCTATTATACAATATTTTTATAATGTCTTAATGCTTATTTTTTGTGGTTTTCTGGCTCTCCAAATAGAAATTAATAAGACTTATTTACATATATTTTCTTTGTTGGTGAAAGTAGCTTATAGCTCAGTAGTGTGTGAGACATTCATATGAAAGATGCTATGAGAGCACAAAATACAGCTTTCAGAAGATGATTGAGTTGTGCAGTGGTTCAAACTCTGATCTTCTGGTGATATGAAAGCTGATATTGCAGTATTTATTCTCTAAAGAGGCTGAGAACTAGCTTATGAATAAATCTTCTAATAAAAGGCATAACATATACATGCTTTGTTTGCTCCATTCAGGAATATCTTTAGTTATTATGTACATATTGTCCAACTAGATTAGCTGCACAAACAAATACAGAGTGAGGAAAAAGATGTCAGCTTTCCGTGCACAAAGTCTCACTGGGCCATTTTTGTGGTATTTTGAAGTAAAAATTTCACCTTCATTCAGTACAAAAGAGTTTCAAAGTGATGCATTGCTCAGAATGGAAAGTCAGAAAGGTGGCATAGCTTCCATTTAATTTAATTTGGTAGTAAATGTAGTAAATTTAGTGTAGTTAAATTACTTGAGCTCTAGGACAGAAATGCCTTTATAAGAACCAGTTCTGGAAGTACAGAGGTTGAATCACCCTTTAGGTATTTAGGGGGAGAAATATCCACTAATGGTTTGTACTTCTAATGTTCCCAAAGTACATTTCTTTTTCATATCTCAGATGAAGTGCAGTATACATCTATATATTTATTTTCCCCCTATCTTTCATCCTCACTGGTTTCTGTTCTTGAGCTGGAGTGTAACATGCAGTGAACCATTCATGGGGACTGCTTTCAGCATACAAAAATATTCTCCATTATGTGTGTGTATAATCAGCATGGCTTTTCACAGCTTTTTAAAACAGAAGTGCATTTAAAGTAAACATTATGAAATACGATATAAACAATGTTTTTTCTTTTTACTGAGTGAATTTTCACATTAAGAATTACAATCTCAAACCTCACAGGAAAGCAAAAAGTAGTGTGCCTGTTGAAATGAAAGAATAGTGGAGTGCATTCCTATGTTTAATGCTTCCCTTTTGGACAATTCGGTGCATTAATAAGTTATTGCTGCTCTTTTCCCTATCTAGTTGATTAATAAAAATAAGCTTAATAATATTTTAGAAGTCTTCTTAGTGTTGATGACAGAAATATTCTTTTGATCTTGTAGCTGACCCACTTTTACAACAAGGCTCAAACTAACACACTTTTCAGATCCTCTGTGGATAAGATCACACACTTGCTATTCTCTAATGAATTGCTGGCTTTGCAAGCGTGAAAATGGGCCCCGAAATACAAATACAAGGGGGTTGTATTACCTGAATTGTGCCCTGGGTCAAAATGTTTATGAACTGCTGCTCCTTAATGCATTTCTGTTTGTATCATGGAAGTAGTGGGGTTGTCAACATGGTCTCCCGTGAGCCACTGGAATTACATGAATGTCTCTAGGTCAGACTTGGTGAATTGCTGGGTTTTAAAAATGTTCATGATTTCTAATGTTCTAGGAAAAACATTTACTGTTCCAGATTTCACATGGGGTCTCCTGAGCGCAACTGCTGCCAAGTCCTGGATAAGAGAAAGGTTGCAGTGGCTTTAACACGCGTGAACTTGTTTTAAAGGGAATTCCTTCTGGGTTTAGGGTCTTCTAGGAAAGCTTTAAGTTGTGTTTATTCTAATATTTCAAGGCACTTATATATATATAAAAAAAAAAGTACACGAGTCCATCACAAAATAGAGGCTAGAATAAGGGATCCGTTGCTTTCAAATTTCCTGATACAAATGTGCTTTTTTTTATAAGAAAAATACAGAACAGAGAAAACCTGGGAGCAGTGAAATTCAGTAGCCTTCTTTTTAGGAATGAATGCTTTAGGAAAAGCAGTGTTGTAGCAGGAAACAGAAGCCTCTTTCGTGCTGTTTTCCCCATTTTGCAGTTCACCAAAACCTGTTTTAAAATCTCAGCTTTACTTTTTTTTTTCTTGGATGACCAACATTTGAGGCACCTTTGTGCCATGTACTAGAATTGAAGCCTCAGTAGAAACTTGAGGTTTGTTGTTTGTAAAAATGACACCCACTTTGGAAGTGCAGTAATTAACCTCTCTATACATCAGTTGTCTGGATTGTAAAGCCCATAAGTTATAAGGATCTTGATAATTTTGATTAGGTTTAGATTTTTTTTCAAAAAATTTTAATTGTTCACAGTAGAAGTCTATGCATTTTAGGTGGGCAGTTTCTGAACCCCAGCTTGAAAAACAGAAAAATCAATTCTGCCGCAATAAAGAATATTTAAAGTGCAAGGCAATGTTGAAGAATGGATGACAGAAACAACTCCTGATGGTTAATTCCTAGAGGATTCTGCAGTTTAACAGTTCACCAGAAGGTGTCAGATTGCTCAATGGAAATTCAGTAATAATCTGTAAACATTAGGTACCCTTTGGTAGCGTGCATTGAGTTTAGGAGACCCCGGCTTGTGCCTGCCACAGCATGGCAGCAGCAGTGCTTGCTGCTGGGTTTTGACAGTTAGAATTTGAGGATGAGCTGGTACATATTCAACAGGATAAGGATTCATCTTCAGGAAAACTTTAACAAAATCACAGTAACACCCAATGCTGCCCGAGTAATAATGTGGAGCTCTCAGTTTCTGTATTAAAAGTTTATATTGTAACAATGAGTTAGGAATTATTTTAAATGGCATTAACTTACTGGTAGATGCCCAGAGTAACAAGCACTGCCCTAGGAAAAGCAGGCCTTCTCCTTTTTTATTGCATTGGAAAACTGAAAGGATTTCACTGAATTTTAATATTCTTTGTTAAATTCATGCTTTTGAGTGATCACCTTAACTGTAGCTTGCCAAGTAGCCTTTGCAGTTACAGATGAACAGGAGCAATCCAAATTAATTAAAAAAGAGCACATCTCTGTGAGTCTGAGAAGTGCATCTGCCTTGTATTATTTAAAGAAACGTGCAGTACCACGAGGGGGCAAGCTTGCAGTTTTCATGTAAGACTGAGGATTTGCCAGATATGCAGACAGTATGAATTCTGTTGATTTGATGTCGGTACTTACATTCCAAGAGAGCTAAGATGTTGGATTTTGTTATGGGTTATGATTTTTGACGCTACATTGCTTTTTGTAAGCAATAAATTACCACGTGGCTTTAAAACAGAAATAAAATAGAAATGATCAGAGTTCTTGTGAGGAGATAATTCTTGTAAATATGTTTGATTTTGGCTGTCATCAAAAGCAAAATGTGTAAACATGCTAAAGCTGTAAAGTTATTAGTAAAGGACCAGGTCTGGCTCTCCTCGCTTGTGTGTAATAGTTCCTTACACCCCCAGAGTGTAAGGCAGCGTGTGCTCAGTCTGTGAAGTTTCCAATCAGAGAGCATTTTTCTGCACTGACTTGATGTTTTCTTACTTAGGTTCAACATAAAAGTGCAATTGCAGATTGTAGCAAGTTTCATGCTTACTGGTGTATCCGGAGGTGCAAAGTATGCCCAAAATGGACAACTTTTTGGCCGCTTTAAGCTCACAGAAACGCTTTCGGAAGACACTTTGGCTGGACGGCTGGTGATGACCAAAGTCAATGCTGTTTATTTATTGCCTGTCACTAAAGAGAAGTCAGCACAGACCCAAGGAACCAAAGAGAAGGTTTATGAAGCAGCCATTGAAGAGAAAACAAAGGATTATATCTTCTTGAGAGTATCCAGGGAATGCTGTGAAGAACTTAATCTTCGGGCAGATTGTGAAATGCAGGTAAGCCTCAGTAGAAGTGGTGTTGAGACTGCTTGCCCTATGTCTCTTCTTGCTGCAATCAAAATGCATTTTGGAGACACAAATAAGTACAAATAAGTGTGGTTTTTTTTTTTTTTCTCATTGTTCATTGTACTCAGAAAGTGTAACATGGATAAAAATTTCAGACATACACATACATACGTATATATATATATTTGGCTTTTTGCTTCATCTGTGGGGGGGGGGCGGGCAGAGAGGGGGGAAGTTGACACTTCACCAAAATTACCCTTCTTGCTTGAGGAGTGAGGCAGTAAGATCCATTTTTTGTTTGCTTTGAGGTTTACCTGAAATGGTCAAGGAGAAGAAAAGAGTACTTGTTTTAAATAACTCAGTGTAGTTTGCAAAAAGACAGTGCATGAGATGTAAGTACAAGTGCTTGTAGTGAAGACAAAGCTGCAGTTAAATTAAATGCCACCCTCTTCCCGTTCATCCTCTCTGTGTCTGCTGTAGACCTGGAGGTCAATCTTGCTACCAAACAGAAAGAAACTCAAATTAAGGCCACAGGGATTGCTGGAAATGAATCAATTTTCATCGAAGGATTATCTCCTCCCATTCACTTTGTTTTGGGGAAACTTATGCAAGAATTCTAATGTCTTAATTTAGCATAGATAATCGGTCTGGGTAGATGTGTGTTGTACTGGGCACTTGGTTTTGTGCTTATTTTCTTAAAACAATAATTAAACCTACTAATTGACTTATCAAAAATTCCATTGGAATACAAAATGAGCTGAGGCTTTAATAACTACCTTATTTTTCTTTGAGTGTCTTATAAAACTTAGCTAGAGGCAACAAATGGGTTTGTAATTCCTCTATTCTGCATTAGGAATTGGGTCCTGAAGTTATTTGTAAAATCATTTAGTACTTCTTAATTATATCACCGAACCAGTGGTCAAATCTTTAAACATTTGCCTATATTGTGATCAGTCCTAATTGCATGGGAAAGTCTTTTTTTTTTTTTTTTGGATAAAGTTTGACTGAAAAGTTAATTAAATTTGGAAAGAAATCCTCAGATCAATCCTGAGGATATTAAAATTTAGATGCGGCGTGTTTATTGGAGGCACTGGGAATCTTTGATGGAGTTAAGTATTCCCCATGTGAGCTTTAAACATTGGTCAAATTGCTTTTATTTCTGTGTGTTTGGGAGAGCTTGGGCTTTGTTTCCTTTCTCTTTAATAATTCATCTCCTGAACTTGCTGCTCTCCTGCTCGCCTGCTGCCCGAGCCTTGGTTTCATCGAGTGCAGAGACGGGACGGAAGGAGCTGCTGCTTTAAACCCCTTGGCCGCTCGCTTTGGTGACCAACCTTTCACGAGACTGTTTTATTTTTGGAGTGGCTACGCTCTTCTGTGTCCTTTGCTGTGAAACTGGCAAGGGATTAACTTCCTTTCCCACTGTTTTCTTATTCTGGAATATATTTTAAAGCAGGTTACATACCTCTCCTTCACAGATGGCCTCATTCAGTACTCCACAATAGCAAATCTGATTCAATTCAAACTGCATTAAAAACAAAATAACAAAAATAAGCAAAAACAAACAAAGAAAGGTGGTGAATGCCTGTATTTAATAGTAGCCACCTTTCCTGGATTCCTAGAAGGGGCTATTGAAGCATCATGCAGAGGAGCATCACAGCTGCCGTGTCGGGTGTTAACCGGGGATCGCTTTGAGCAAGGCCGTTTTTCCTGCATGCACCAAACCCGGAGCCTGGCACCACTGCCATTAGCCAGAGTGTCTTTTTCTTTTCCAAACACCTGCAGGATGTGGTCGGGCAGACCAAATCGGACGCTGAATAGACCAGGATGGGACACGGGCTGGGCAGGAAGCTCAGGGTCCCTCTCGGGCAGGGGGAGCTGGGTCTGTCCGTCTGCGTGGCTGCTAAATACCCTGCTTCTGCAGGCCAGGGCATTTACCAAGGGCCCGCGTAGGCAAAAGCTGTGTGATGCGATGGGCACAGGGAGAAAATTCTTAGATAGTCCTGCTTACTATGGCGATGGGCACAGGGAGAAAATTCTTAGTCCTGCTTACTATGGAGAGAGAGAGAGAGGAAAAACAGGGATTTCCTAGCTGTTACAGTTGCTTTAATAAACCCCACTGAATATTGCGCAGATTTATTATTGCCCTTTTCTTTGGAGTTCTGGCTCTGCATCGCGTTGGAAAATGCAGAAGTTGAGGTAAATATTTAATGCCTTTATGTCTGTGAGACAGTGAACGCTAATGGCTACATTCTGCACTCATACAGGCAGACACTTATTTACAGCAAAGCTACTATTGATTTTACATGCTACATATTATACTGTTATTTAAATACACTGGCAAAAAAGGGGTCCTGTCTAAGAGCTGCATTTTCTACATCCTTTTGGAAGAGATGATCCTCTTGAAGTAATAAATATTATTAGTACACCAGAAGGCTTTACAGTTACGAGGTAACTTTATGAGCTGATAATGACGTGCCTGATCCAACAAATACTTAAATATATAAGGCTAAAATATTCCTCTATAGGAAAAATTCCATGAGAATTCATTGAGTTTAGAGAAGCAAGGATCTGCTTCTCTTTTATTGTTATCAAGCTTACTGTGCTCCTTGGATAATCACAAAGATTTTTAGTACGACACATTTTTTGATACATACTCTATATAAAAATTAACTAGGACTTTTAAAACTTCTTTTATACTTAAAATTTTCATCGTGTCTCTCTATAAGCTGTCAAAACAGATTGTGTTAAAATACATTTTAGAGTTGCTGGGTGTTTGTTGAACTTTCTGGTTAGTAGCTGTAATTATCATGAGATTAGAGTGATTGAGGAATAAGGGACAGATTAATAGCGAGTCAATGAGAGGAGAGAATCAGTTAGAGAGAAGGTTTTTGCCCTGGTTGGGTGGTATAAGGTTGGAAGGGCTGTCTCCTTCCTCACAGCAGCCTTTCTCTGAGGTTGCAGCTTGTCCACTCTTCATTATAAATCCCTTTACAGAATGTATATGCTCTTGCTTAAACCTGCAGTGCTCGTTGGAATTGCTGCACAGTGGTTACATAACTGCTGAGTTAGACATACACTGCTGGAAAGAGATAATGTTTATCAGTCTCTTCGAAGTTGCTCAGTTGCTTTGGATGTCTTTATGTCTTTTAATATTAGTAGGAATTTGTGTGAAATTATTGGGAAAATTGATAAATTCTTAAAGATGTGTAACTTATAAGCAAGATGTTTTCATTAATTATTTTCACAGGAATTTTTATCATGTCTTCAAATTCAAAATGTGTTTTTCTCTTTGCCCTTTTAATAGACCTTTGTGTGAACTAATTTTACCAGCTATTGTTCAGTCTGGGTTTAACGGGGGATGTTACCACGCTCTGCATGTCGTTTCTGGCTTTGCACGAGGATGTTGTTGGCATTATCTTTTATTTGCTAACATTAAAACACAAATAATTGAGAGAACAGAAAATGAATGTATTGATATGCAGCTAATTGTTTCAATAACTGAACATAATCAACAAATTATATTTTTACAGAATGTAAATAAGTAAGATTTGGGATTTATCACTAGCATCAGATCTGTAAAAATGTATAAAGGGATGGAAGTTTATACTTTTAAAGACAATGATACTTTCTGATAATTTGATTAATTGTTTTCTGAAAATACAGTGGAATATATTCATGAAAGTCTAACAGCTACATTACATTACAAAAATGCTATATTTTGGTTCAAAATGAACATGTTAACTTTATTTCAAATCTTTTATCAAATAATGTTTATTGTTTTCTTCTGAGAGTGTTTTGTAAGAAAATAAAATTGTTAGCTATCATATGCAACTGAGTCTAAATAGTGTTTTCTAGATTAATCATTTTTACTTCATCTGTTAATTCATTTTATACTGTAGGTTGAACTTCAGTTTCAGTTAAATCGCTTGCCCCTCTGTGAAATGCATTATGCCTTGGACAGGATTAAGGACAACAGTATTTTGTTTCCAGATGTCAGCATGACTCCCACCATACCCTGGAGTCCCAACAGGTACAAGAATACAAACACTTTTATATCAAGGATCGTATGGTAATGCAGTATTGAGTTTCTCATAACAGATGGCTGAAATCTGCCCTAAAACAGGAAATATGCCTTGCTCTTCATTAGTTGTGAGGATGGTTCAGAGAAGGGAGTGAAACTGTTCTAAATAAAACAAGAAAACTGATCCTCCTAACACTGGTGTGTGCTGATCAGCGTTCCCTTGAAATAGATCTGCAGTTTTAATAGGCACTGCAGTTATATTGTAGCTGCAGAAGGCAAATCTGCTCTTGTTGTTTACTGGTCTGCTTTTCTTCATTGCAAATCCACGTTAAGTGCTGCTTGCAAGGAGTTGGCTGGGCAGGATGTGGTGCGTGCACAGTGTCCAGTAGCACCCTTGGAGCTTGATGCAGAGCCCCAGTTTGGCCGTATCATGGTAGGGGATGCCAAGAATGGCATGGGGCTGAGTCTTGGAAGCACCAGCACAGCACTTAAAACAGTGTGAGAGTCTTTGTACGTATGTCTTCGTTTCCCTTATGAAATGTAACCCCCCTATATGATATAAATACTTTTAAAGGCAACCAAGACTGATGTAGTCATGCGAGTGGTGATGAGAATACTGGGTTTGAGCAGGAAGGGGAGGTGAAATAGGTTGTCTTGTAGAGGAAAATTTATCGAAGAGACACATGAGGTTTGCAGGTCCGACATACGGTGAATTCTTTGTGCATAGGGGAGGCTAAAAGAGGCATGAGGTTTGTGTACGGAGCCACCACGGAAACGAGAGGCACGTGGGAGAGACGGTGTGTACAGCACGAGGTGGAGAGAGCTTGTGTGGCCTCCTGAAGGGCAGGATTAAGAGCACGATTGCGGTGAAGTGTGCATCAGAGGATAGCGCGTGGTTCCTAGGCTCTAGCCCGGGAAAGCTAGTCAAAAAGTACTGGAAAAAAAAATAGTTCGTTAAGAGATAATGAAAGAGTGAGTGCAGTGTTCGAGGTCAGGGTGGTTCCTGCCTGGATCCAGGCTTAAATAGGGCAGGAAGGAGGGAATAGCTTTTGTATGGGGCTTTTCTACAGAGCTAATGGAAGACAATGACAGTTTGTTCACTGACTTAAATTTTTGGTGCGTCTTACAGGGAAATAGGATTTAGGAATAGTTTGGATATAAGTGATTTGAATATAAAAAGTTAAGTAAGCTGGAACTTAAATTTGTCAGGAAGTTTATATTTGTGTACATTCATATAATGGTTGAAGTTTATATAACTTATTTCTATAACGGTTTTGTAATTTTTGTGTATGTAAATGATTTATGTAACGGTTGCAGTTTTAAGTCAAGGTGATGAGAATGTTTTACCATCTGGTGATTGGATTTACCCTACCTTGAGATTCAACACTTTTGACTAACTCAGAACAGTCCTTCCCTTTGTGTTTTTTTTTCTTTTATTGTTGCTTTATGTTCCTCTTATCTTTCCAGTATTTCTTAGATTCTTCTGCCAGGTTGTTCATAGCGCTCTATCAGCTAGGAATTCAGTTAATTCCCTCTTGATTTTACTCCCTATGGCTAAGTGCTGCCGAATGGAAGCTTTCCCGGTCCCCGAGAGTCCCAGTGCTCGCACGGCGGCAGTTCAGGTTTCACAAGCAGGGCCGTATGTGTGTCAGTGACAGGTGCTTTTGACTACGCAGCTCTCCTTTTCAATCTGGCTGAGTGAGATTAAAACCTTGTCTACGAATGTTTAACCTCTTCAGCTCACGGGAAATTTTGAAAGCATCTTCCTATTAATGGTAGTGTCATTAGCTGGTGACAGTAATAACACTTTTTAAAACTGCTTTCCTGTTAGAAGCCAATGCCTTAACTATCCGTAACAAAATAAGCATGTTCTCATTAATTGGGTAGCCATTAGTTCTTTTCATAGTTAATTTCACCAGAGTTTATTTTCCCAAAACCCTGTGGCTGTGTAGCCGTTCACTTCTACAACAGGCAACATAAGCAAAAGTGGAGGGCAAGACACATATGTACCAATACCTTTAGTGTTTTTAATAGCAGGTAAACGTTGTGGGCCTACCTGTATTTATCATCAGTCTGGAGCATAGCTATGCTCTATCCACAGTGTGTACTATGCAGGTTAATTATAATCAACTGAGATAATGCAAATCAAGCAGTGGTTAGATTGCTCTGAATAATTTCCTGATTTTTGCAAATATTATCTGAGTTTTGTGATAAACAGTGTGTGATTGTTTTGTTAAATATCACCTTTAAAATGCCTCAGAATGATTCAATCAATACAGTAGCATACAATATTTATAATTTCTTCAGAGCTTTTGAAATCTTGCCTCATTTCTGATTGCCAGTTGGTTTTCATGGTTTCTGTTTTTAAACTCTTTTGCCTTCTTTTGTACAGACAATGGGATGAGCAGTTGGACCCTCGACTAAATGCTAAGCAGAAAGAGGCTGTTCTGGCTATCACTACTCCACTTTCAATACAACTGCCTCCTGTTCTTATCATCGGTCCCTATGGGACAGGAAAAACATTCACTCTGGCTCAGGCAGTCAAGCACATACTCCAACAACAGGATACTAGGTGAGATTGGGCACTAAAAGTAGAACAATACTAAATTAGCAATAAAAATGCCATTTTTACTTAAGTTCAAGCGAAAGGTGGAAGTAGAGAATTTCCATCCAGCTTATAAAAGAAACAAAATCAAAAACCAGAACCCAAGCCATTGTCATTATTTTGAATGATAAAGTAATCTTTAAAGTGAAGCCATATCCTATATTTTCCATTTAGAACAGAACTAATTAAAATTGACAATATGTAGACTCTGATTGGCTCAACATGAAAAGTTATGCAATATGCAAGATAATAATAGCTGTTCCTTATTTAAAACCAAGTCTAGATTAATAATTACAAAACTATTATTGAAAAACTGTGTTTGAACTTTAAATCTTTTCATAGCTGAAGGATTTAACTTGAAGGGCTGAATCATAAACTCTGTTAGGTCAGTGACTAGTTTCGTTAAGGGAAGTGTGCAGGAAGATGGCCACTGTTTCCTTTTTTTTGTATTCTACTGCTTTGAATTGTTTTCTGTTTCTTCATTGCTTTTTTATTTGCACCATTTATTCCAGCAGGATTCTCATTTGCACCCATTCTAATAGTGCTGCTGATCTCTACATAAAGGATTATTTACATCCATATGTAGAAGCAGGCAATCCCCAGGCAAGACCTCTCAGGTATTTTTTAAGGCTTATTATGTATCTATAAAATACTATTCTTAAGAAAAGGTGTCTATAAAAAAAAGGTTAAAGAACTTTTTAAAACATAAAAGCATATTGGCATTTTACCAGCAATGCTTTTAAAAACATAGACTAAAAGGAACGTGAAATGTATTGTCGACATAATTTGGGGTCATTTGTTAAATAAAGATAAAGACATCCTTTTTTAAGCTTTTACTATTTCTATTGATAAATGTGTCTTTACTAATGAGCAAACTTTTGATATGCTCCTCTAAAAGCTACTATGATAAAATAAAGTGAGTTTTAATTGTATTCTAATTCCAGAGAACTTTGACTGGCATTTACAATGATAACTTGGAAACTGGGGTTACCCACCTCGCTTTTTGAAGACAAATTCTGATGTCATAGAAGCTTCATATTTAGAGAATCATGTGCAATTAGTTTGGCCTCTTCTGAGAAGTCAATATAAAGTAACTATATGTGATTAAATGTGTTAATGTGGGTATTTTGGGGGAATTAATTGAAAAAATATAGAAGAGGTGGAAACTTTAAGAGAAAGCAGAATCATCATGCATGTAGGAATGTAGACTCTGTGATTCTGTGAAAGCAGAGAGGCAGAACCTATTTATGGGCAGAAACACAGTTCCCTGGGCCTGGTTTGCTCTGTGAACACAACGTGTGATAGATATTGCCAGCTTAGTATCTCTTCATCAAACTGCGAGCACATTTTCTGAGTGCCAAGGCGAGTTTATTACACCGCGAAGACAGCGACTGCGTATGTTTACAAACTAGCTCTTCAGACCATCCTGGCCGTGTATTTTTATGCAATGGCTTTAAAGCCGGTGCAGCGGCGGCGAGGGCTGGGCTGGCAGCAGGTGAACACCCTCTTGGTCGCTGGCTTTAGCTGCCAAGTGACATTCTGCCTCCTGGCCAAGGCGGAGGACGCAGCTCGTTTCTGAAACGTCCCCTTTGGGCTGGGTCTGTTAACTCAGGTTTTCTTAAGATGATTTGTAAAGCACTTTGTGATGAAGAGCATTATGGTCTCTTAATTTTGTACTGGGGAAGAATGTATGTGATTGACCCTTTCAGGAATAGTGAAGTGTGATTTACAAGAGCAAAGAGTATAAAGCCTTAAACCACAGTTGTGCTGTGTTGCCAGCCTTTGTGGACAACTTTGTTTATGCACTGCATTCAGCTATGCAGTCCACTCTCCAAAATCCTTCTGAACTGCTGAAACAAACAAGAGCATTTTGGTGTGTAATTCAAATGTCACTAAAGGTTTTAATTTCAACATAGTCATTATAGTGTTTGTCACAAATGCTTCCGAAAATGCTGTGGTAGTTTGTATGAAATAATCATGATACCCCTGTGAAGACTTGCACTTTGGAAAAATGGAGGCAGTTCTGGAACTGTCCATAGGCTTTATATCCCTTATACACACATTTCCCAAGTTCTTGGAAACATTCAGCCGTCTGAATGTTGACCTGAATTATAGGAGTTGGTTAATATGAAGTGAAAGCTAGAACTGTGTGAGATTCCTAAAATCGTTTTACGGATTGGTTGCCTTTCTTGGGGAACTGTTGTCAAGAGATATTTTTCAAGCTAAAATCAGTACTGTTAAACAGGGTGCCAGAGTCTTTTGTAATTTGTTTAGGGAAACATCAAGTGGAGCAGAATCAGCAGTGTCCAAGCAGTATGTGTTTCGAATGGCTGAACAGTTTCACACGTCTTTGTTTGCTATAGAAGTGATGAGTTTGCTAAAAATGTTTCCATAGGTTAGTTAGGAGCACCATAATATTTACATTATTTTTGAAAAAGAAAGCTTAATTATTTAATATTGATGAAGGATCGAGAACTGTGTGAACATTTCTGTAAATTTCTCTGGGTAAGATGCAAAGTTCCCTACAAAATAATTATCTATGCCCTTTGGAAAATGCAGAGGCATAATGAAGACTGAAAATTTCTCTTGAGTCTAATCTCTTCACCTACATAAAATACCAACAAAGCCTGAAGGCCAAATTCTGAGAGTCCTGATGCCCATGAATAAATTTTTACCCGAAAAGAAAAAAAAAATCCACTGGGTTTTATTAGATGATTCAAATGTGTTAGAGGCCCACTGCAAAACCTGGTTTTCACACAACAATTTTTGTTATAGTTATGTAGATTAATGCAGAAGTACTTCTAAACACCCCACCTTATCTTTAAGAGGCAAGAGAGCCTTCAGTTGAGTTACATGAAGAGCTTAGGCTCTTGGTTGAAGTGTGGAAAAGCAGGAGCTTTTAGAGGGTAAGAGCAGTAAAGGGTAGTGACCAGTTCCCAGCTCGAGGCTCGTCCCTCCAAGGGCTCCTGCAGAGTGTCCAGGAGCCCGGCTCCCGAGGGAGGTAGGTACTAGAGGCCCTGAATGTCCCCTGGAAACTCTGGTCCAGACCCAGGAGACAGATGGAGCAGCTTCTCTGTAGGGCTGAGCATGAAGTGATTGAGGTCTCTCTATGTATGTTATTATTTCTATTTGACCTTTACTGTTTAGCTGTATCAGTATGCTTTTTTTTTTAGAGGAAAAGGAAGGTGGTTGATACAGCTATTGATATTGTTGATGTGTTTTTAAAATTTATTTATTCCTGAAAATTTTATTGCTGAATATGAGATTAACAACGTCAGAAGAAAGATTAGTTCTAATGAGGGTTCCTCAGGTGAAACGTGTCTGGTTCACTAGCTCTTATCTAATTTTTCTACTCATGCTCTCTCTGTGTAAGTACTGCTGATATCTGGAAAACAGGTATCTTCAATATGTGGTTTCCAGATTTATGCAATACCCAACCTATCACAGTGAATCAATCTGCAAATCAGAGTTTGAATTAAAACAGATATGTGACAGAACCATCCGCATAATTGGCTCTGTGTGACGAGGAGAACATCAGTAAGCCAAAACAGAAGTCTTAGTGAACAACACATAGCACATTAACATTTTATTCTGGGAGGATCCCGACCGTTTTGTCAAGAGCTAGAGAGAGGTGTTTTTTCCAGTTCAGGATAGGAAAAGAAGCCTTGGAGAACGTACATTTATTCCCCACTGATTCCTTGTTGTCATGAGAAGTAGGAGCTACATCCTACTTCTGTAGGATGTGAGTAGAAATCGAACTCCCTTTAGCCTCCTTCAGAGGTTCAGTCTCTAGATTCCTCCTTTATTGGCTTTTGGAGGTGCTTCCTCAGTCATTCAGCAGTCCCAGCCTGGAACAGGACCAAGGAAGTTATTTTTGACTTTTAATTACTGATATGAAGTTGTTACTTTTGCAAATAATGCATTGTGCAGATTGATATTTGGTTGAAAATTTAATGGAATATTTTTCCATTATTAATGGAATCAAAATGTGGAAGAGTAGGAAAAGCTCAAGCTAGGTAAGATTTAATGGAAATACTTGGGCCAAATTCTATTTTGCATTAATTATTACAGCTGATGGAAACATGGGTTTTGCTGAGAATTTGCTTCATTCTTTGGATCATCTGCTAATATTAAGTCCAAGTAACGCAGGCGGCGAAACGTTATGATTCAGTTAAGTAGATTAAATACATTTTGGCATGCATTCATCTAGCTTTAAGAAAAAAACAACTATTATGGAAATACAGGAGATCTTATTAATGCCAGTTGCACCTGAGGAAGAAATCCCTTCTTCAGTTTGGTGTTGGGTATTAGGCTGATAATACCACGACATTTTCCAAGCAGTCGCATCCATCAGGTGTCTGATGCTGCTGGTGAATAATAGCTCTGGGGTAGTTTCTGGTTTTCACATCAAAATAAAATAAATTAATGGATAAGCAGTGATGCAGTTTGAGATGCTGTCAGCCAATCTGTGAGTCACACACAGCAGAATCTGTGTAATAAAAGACAGAGCATGGTATAATAACACATAATAACCAAAATATTTTGCATTTCAATAGCACCTTTCATCCAAGAATCTCAAAGTGCTTTACAAACATGAAATCACAATAAACTCATTAATGCTCACAGTACTCCTGTGAGATGGTAGGTAAGTATTGCCCTCCGTTAAGATCCAGGAGCTGAATCACACAGCAGCTCCCTGACTGGCTGGGATCAAGAGATCAGGAGTCATCTTACTCCTACTCCCCTATTCTAGCTCGTAGACTGTTGCCTTGTAGGTTGTTGCATTGATGCATAGCAGTTTATCAAATAAAGTTTCCCTTGGATTGGTAAGAAATACAGTTATAACATTAAGAAGGGTCTTGACCGCAGAATGACTCAGGGCTGTGTCACTTCCCTCTGCACCGAACCCATTCGCAGTGGGAAGGGTGTTTGGGTCTTGGAGGTGCGTCCTGGTTCTCACTGTTGTTGAATTAAAAAGCCATTCCGAATCCTGCCGTGCATTTGCACGACTTTGTATTTAGTTTTGTGCTGATTGGCCAAAAGGAATGTTGTTACCTCTGTTATCACAGGCTTTGTTTTCAAACATGAGGGGACATAAGATAGGATATCCACATTCCAGCCAGTGAGGTCATGTTTTCACTTAGGTACATAGTTATTTTTATCCATTGAAACAATATTTTCCTGTACATCAGGAGAGCTGATCTGAACTGACTATATAATGAATAGAGTAAATAAACAGAAATAAAACTCATATTCAGAACTGAAATTTGTTTAAAATGTTTCATCTTAACTTTCTTTGGAATTAAGCAACAGTAAAATCACTTTAATTCAGAATATGAGTATTTACACAGTAGTTTTGTGTAGTTTAAAAGTTCCACTTTAAATTCACGATTCTTGATTCAGATGATATTTTCGAGGCGCACCATATAGAGATGTCCTTTGACATCTATGTCCAGGTGCTCAGCGGTGTGATTTGACATATTTCTACATCTCTCTGGAGTTTTGTAGTCTGTTTTCTGGGTCGTGGCCTTTTTCCTTCGTTGTTCCTTCTCCCTTTAAATAGACTGACCATAACATTACATTCCTGTTAAAGGAATAATCAGCACTGATCTCAAGCTGTGATAATTAAAATTTTCTTCAGTGACTTGAGAAGATGTTTGACATGCAACCTTCTGATAACATTATTCGGATATCTGATATTTTAGACCTTTAAAGTTATCATTTCTAGCACTGTCGTCTTATTGCTTTATACAGTGTATTTTAACTGTGGTCCTTCATGGGAACCAGGTGAATACAATTTTCTGTTTGTTTCTTAGACCTTAGAAGACATATAGTAAGTGTACAATAAAGTGCAGACTTTCATTAAGGTCTTTGCAGCGCTCTTCGTTTCAAGACATTTATGTTTCAGTTGAGGAACTTGTTTTAGGTTTTCATATATCATCTAATCCATGGTAACTTTCCATGTATGTAGGATTGCACTGCAGCAAGTGGAAGATATCTGAGGCGTTTTAGCATATAATCCATAAAGTTACTTCTTAATTCTTAAAGTTTTACTTCCTAAAGAGTAGTTTATATTTATCAGAAAACAGAATCTTAGCACTTGCAATATTAGTCTGTTTTGGTGTTTGAACTGCATAGCAAATAAGCCTGCTTTTTATTTTCTAGGGTATATTTCAGAAATCGCTGGGTAAAGACTGTCCACCCAGTTGTGCATCAGTACTGTTTGATTTCAAGCACACATTCCACCTTTCAGATGCCACAGAAGGAAGACATTCTTAAGCAACGAGTAGTAGTTGTTACTTTGAATACATCACAGTATCTATGTCAACTAGATCTTGAACCAGGTAAGATGATTTCTAAACAAGAAGTGTCCTTAAAGTACTTTACACCGACTTACCAGTGTTGGTGAGAGTATTCCTTCTGTTTCTTCCCCACCCCTTGAATTCAGTGTAAAAAATGAAAGAAGTGAAGGACTGGCTTTTAAAGTGCTCTTCCATTTCTTATAAGAAAGCTTTTGTTTACTACAAAGCTATAAAATTCCTGGCATTCAAATTAAATTCTCCTTATTATATTTTTTCTTATTTAAAAAATTGAAGTGATTAAATAAAGGAGTGCTATCTATAGTCTTTTGTTTTCTGAGATCCAAGAGGGAAAAATCTATTTGAGATTTGATTCTGACTTTGAATATTATGCTCATTAAGGTCATGACTCAATGGAGCATAGAAGTATAAACAGAAAGAGCTTTCTTCCTGTTTTGTGAATTGTTTAGCTCTGTAAACAACTCCCACACCTACAAACTCATGCTGTGTTAACATGATGTTTCTAGGCGCTTTTCTAAATTGAAATATCTTTGACTGATTAATTGGGACAGAGGCGGCTTAAGGTTTATTGGTTCTTGATCTCCAAATGAAATTCATCTGCTTTTGGAGAATATAACTCCTTTATTGAGTTGTTAAAGTTAGCTGCAGTTACAGCTGCAGTTAGGCATTCATTGCAATAAATGAAGCTAATATGGAATTCATAGTAAATTTTTTCAAGTCTTTAGACAGGAGTTACTATATCTAGAAATGGGCTGTGTGTAGTCATGTCATGGTAATATGTAAGTTTACAGAAATCTTACTTCCATATAAAACTGTCACATTTTTGGTATATAATCTTACTTGGGACTGTACTACATGCCCTAATAATTTGCTTTAAAACGTAGAGTCTGCCAATGTATAAGAACATGTATGGCACAAGTTATTTTGTGTGCATGATACCCAGTGCATGGGAATCTTCCCAGAATAGAAAACTCCCAGGACAAATTATCGTATTGTTTTCGCTGTTTGTTTTATCTGATCTCAGTTTCGTTTATTTGCTGGTATCTCTGCTTTACAGGGTTTTTTACACACATTCTGCTAGATGAAGCTGCACAGGCTATGGAGTGTGAAACTATTATGCCTCTAGCATTAGCTAATAAAAATACAAGAATTGTCTTGGCTGGAGACCATATGCAGGTAAGAGCTGTAGAATTTTTTAAAATAGCCTGTGTTATACTTTCATCAGAGAAAGCTTACATGTTTATATACTTAGGATGTTTATCTCCTCTAAATTTCTATGTTAATGAATACCTCCTAGTCTCTTAGACTCACAGGCTTTCTGCTAAGTAAGAGCATGATGATGTTATCCTCATCTTACAGTACAGGGACATAAACTGAATTGCCTACAGCTGTGTAGGAAAACATAGAATGGAGACTTAGGGCCAGGCAGCTACTGGATTATATGCAAATAAAACTTCATTTTAAAGAGGGGGTGGTAGATAAGTTTTACCAGTCATATGATAGGCGGGGAAACTGGGGAAAATTTAAGTGATGATATTTGTGTAAGATGTTGCAGCTAATTGCTCATGCTGTCAGTGTAGAAGTTTTTGCTACTTTTTCTGGCCAGTAGTCCAGAAAAAGCTTCCCCTAAAAAGCTGAAGTAGAGCTATAGACAGTGGGTATTAAGATTTAGATAATTGTTTTGTATTAAAGGTCTCATCATCTGGTAGGGAGTTGAACAAGTAATAAAGAGGAAACTGAAACTAAGCACTGTGTTTTACCACTCTGGGCTTAAGAATTCTTGGAGTTTGAAACACCAATTCTGCATGCTGGTTTTCAGCCTAACAGGCTTGCAAAAGCATGCATGGAAAGCTCATTCTTACTTGCCTTGTTGATTTGGGATAGGTATATGACTTTTTATGTATTTGCCATCAATTTTTCTTGGCATTTTACAGTGGCAATGAAATGGATGTTTGCATTGGTATGCTCATGATAACAGTAATACTGTGGTCTTCCATAGTGCTTTTCGTGCGTAGATCTCAAAAGTGCTTCATAAAAGCACTTCGAAATCTTTAAGTATGTTTAAAAGATGTGTTTTCTTACTGTATTTATCATCCTTGCATTTTTTCTGCCATAATATATTTCTTTCTTGTTGTTAAACAAGCCTAATGGTAGTGTAGTGTATTAGTAGAAAGGACATCTAGCTTTCAGCTTTACTAGTGACTTGCTTTTTGTTTCTCTTACCATGTTACAAATTTATCTATTTTTGATCTCCAGGATGGATGATGGTAACTTAACTCTGTAAAACATAGTAATCTTCTGTATAATTTTGTAGTGGCATTGAAAACAGTACTCTCTTGTCATACAGCTCTCTGCTTTGCTGCAATTATCCATCTATACCAGCCAGGAAGAAAAAAATTATTCATAGTTAGTGAGCATTTTGTTGTTCATTTAAGAGCTTGCAGTTGTAGACATTTTTATATAAGAATATGCCTTTCTTCGGAATAATTACACCCTAGAAATTAATAGTAGTTATGTCCTCTAGTTATAGACAGACATTAGAAGTGAGGTCTCTTGATTCACAGAATATGATTTTGATGGGAAATACATATCTTGGGAGCACAAAATTCGAAGTCCACATACTTAGTTACATTTTCTTTGTATGTGTGTGTCTATTACAGCTCAGTCCTTTTGTCTACAGTGAATTTGCCAGGGAAAGAAACCTTCATGTCTCACTGCTTGATCGGCTCTATGAGCACTACCCTGCTGAATTTCCCTGCAGGATCTTGCTGTGTGAGAACTATCGCTCCCATGAAGCTATCATCAAGTAGGTGTGAACTTTTTCACTGTATCATGCTTTTGTCTGACTGGCGGGAGTGACCTGGAGTGAACAGCTCTGTTGCTGTGTCGAGCACGGCTGAATGGAAACAGAAGCCTTAAACGTTTCTGCAGTGATATTTCAGTCATTTCAGAGTTAATTAGCAGGGTACTTCTGTGTTACTAAGTTGAAATCCGGTCTCCTGGAACAGAAATCCAGGGTGCAGCTGGCAATTTTCTTGCGGACCTGTCATTCAGGGAGGGATGCTTTGGCCACAAGACTTGAACGCGAAACCAAAGAAGAGCTGGCCTTTCCTTCTGGACCGCCATGCAGTTTATTTTGTGGGTTCTGTGTTTCTGTGAACCGCTTCAAAAATGTGGAATAATTACTAGGCTGTATTTCCCTGGTGGAACAAATAAGCTAAGTAGAAATAAGCCATGAGGAACATATGGATGAATAACTATGAGCAGAAAAAAGTAGGTCAAATTTTGGGCATGTGTCTTCTATATTATCTTTTTTTTTTATTACTTCTTTCAAGACACATTAATCAGTTATTTCACATTTTTATGCTATGATAAACTGATGGCTGCTAGTGTAATGAACTCATCCGTGAGCTGTGCTAGAAAGAATAAATGCAGTCATGGAGAAAAATGCTGAAGTTTAAGTCCTTGCTCGAATATTTATCCAGAAATGTTGTGTTGGGATCCAGTCATACTAGTTAGGTTATCACTGTGTTCAAAGCAAAAGAATAAGCATCTAAGTGTACTGAGAAATCAAAAAGGAAAATATAATGTATTTTATTGTGCACAATAAGATCTCTCTTAATCCTGTGGACTTTTTAATTATAGACTGAGTGTTGCTAAATTTCTTATACATTTCTAGAAATTATAACTTATAAAAGAGAATGTGAAAGGGAAGGGATCATTTCAGCTTTTGGTTAGAAATCATTTCCATGAAATTTGCCTCAAAGATTGTGAAAAATCATTTCTGTAGCTGAAGTATCAGACAGTGAGTTCATAAAAAGATGCACTACGTTATACACGGAGGTAAGGATCCCAAAAGTACCATTGGGGTGAGCTGGCTGTTTAGCAAAATCCCATGTGCCTTATTCAACTGAGAAATGTTACTGGGTGAACCAAAACCTTCTCAATGCTCTCATGGTGGTCCATTTAAGAGGTTTTCTGAAGTCTGTTTTCTTTTAAACGTGAAATTTCTCCTGACATGTGGGACCAGGATGCTTATGACAGAAGTAAGTGGGAGATGATGATTCACGGTGGTCTCATTAATCATGTCTACCTAAGTGAAGAGGCAAAAAGAAATTAAAGGAAGAACAAGCCATTAGTTCAGTCTGACTTTGGAGCTGTAATTAGTAGAACAGTCTTTGTAGAAATGGGTTTTGCTGTTCGATGGAGGCTCATTACGAAGGATCGACTTGCAGAAGGAGCTGGTAGCTTGTTGGCAGCAGTGAACTACTACAACTCATTTCACAGATGGGTTGCAGGTTCTTCTTGTTCAAGACTGCTGCTCTGATCAGTAGTGAATTGCAGTTACCTGACAGTAATTTGATATCAGATTTGAGAACTGGTTAGTGATATCAATTTCTTTGGCTTTTCTGGTGGGTAAATACAACTTGCCATGGAGGAAAAGCTTGCTTGGGCACTGGAGCCTTGGCTGCCTTGTACTCAGTAGCCATGAAATCTTCAGCGAATTTATCCAGCAATCGTTATCTGGTGTAACCAGGCCCATAATCCAGCCATCCTGGGGGTGGAAAAAAGTCCCTGAGGGCCAATTTCAAGCCACCAGAACATCCAAGTCAAACACTGGTGAGAATGCTGTGAGTAACTTTGTTGAGCTTTACATCAGCTGAAGGCATCACCTTGGCAGGAAAACTGCCAAGCAAGAGCTGCTTTCTGCCTTGTCTCTGTCCATCATGTGGAAATACCCGTTCAGAGAAATCCCTTGGAGGTGCTGAATGCTCCTCAGTGGGTTCTGCCTCCTTGTGAAGGGTTCTGTGATTGCATATTTCACCAGTACCATCCTTTGTAGACTCCACGTTGTGTTTTGCTTTGCCCTGTTGCAGCTACACTTCTGAACTTTTCTATGAAGGCAAACTGATGGCAAGTGGAAAGCAGCCAGCCCACAAAGATTTCTACCCTCTGACTTTCTTCACGGCACGTGGCGAAGATGTGCAGGAAAAAAATAGTACAGCATTTTACAACAATGCAGAGGTAACTCTTATTTGGCTTTATTCTTGAGTATTTTCTTTAAAATCTGTTACATGATGAGATTTTATATGTCACAAATATGTACTTATTAATACTTGAACAGCCCTGGAAATCCATTGGCTTATGCTGCAGAGTGTAGGTAGAGTCCGTAATTAGTCCCCTGATAGGAAAGAGTAACAGGGAAGTTTACTAAACAAGGAGAAGTGCACATTGTAATGCTAAGAAATGCTTTCATTAACTCATCATCTTTTCTCCTTGCAATTTGCAAGCTGCTTACAAGTTCTCTCAGATTCATTCTTCAGGGTATTGCTCCTGCTAATTTTTGTGACAGTTTGGTGGACGTATCTTAGCAACTGAAAATAACTGTAGGTGAAAGTAAAACTTAGATATTTTTTGACTGTTGTAGAAATGTTCCCACTCAGATTGGAGCCCTCTGGAATAACATTTCATGGTTGCTTTAACATGCCTGAGATGAATGTCTAACTAATCATGCACAAATGGACTTTTTTTTCAATTAATTTGTTCAGTTCTCAAAATATTTGTTTCATATACATTTATGGATATTCTTCAGACGTGACATTTAATCTCATTCCTTCCTTTCAGTTAAAAAAAAAAAAAAAAGGCAATAGTTTTCAAAGTAGAAGTTGCTTTTCTCTAGTCACTTGAAGTTATGGGCGTTTGAGCCAATTCCATTTTCATGCCAAAACAATGTCTGAACCAACGTCTTCATGTTTAAAGAAAGAGGGAAAAAAATTACTAATTTGCTTAAACATGGGGGGGAAAAACATGGGGTTTTCTTAAATTTATGAGTAATTTTATTTTAACTGAGGTTAATGTTCACTTTAGCAACAAAGCTCATTGCAAAGTATACCGAGGTCCATGTGTCAACGTGTCTTGTCGATCATGTTGCCTTAACATGTTGTTATGCTGCACTCATTATGCATTCTTTATTATGCATATCTGCTTAAATAAGAAACTTGCTAGTTTAGCAGTATCTGAATTGCTAAAGACTTATGGATGCATCACTGAGAAAACTTGACTGTTTTCATGAAGGTGCTTGTCTTGCTTTCCTATTAAAAAACGTACTGTAGAAGAGCTTAAAATATCTTTTTAAGCCAAGTAAACTGGCAGAAAATTGTGAGTCATTAATAGCTACAGGCAGAAAGGAAGGACAACAGCTGCTTAAACGCCAATATGAAAGACTGATATTCAGATGATGAGGGAGAATTTTTTTTGCTCTTAATGAACATTAACATTAGGGCATCTTACTGTTCAGTGGTGCTTGCAGTAAGTATTAATCAGGAAAATACACTTTGCCTTTTTGATCTTAATTCCGTCCTTTCCCTCCACGGTGTTAATTCCAACCCCATGTGCAGAAGCTGTGTGTTTCAAGCTAGGACTTTCAGTCCAGTGTACCTGTCAGACTTCTGGCTTTCTTTTAAGGTGTTTGAAGTAGTGGAGCGTGTTGAGGAATTAAGAAGAAAATGGCCAGTTGCCTGGGGCAAGTTGGATGATGGCAGCATAGGGGTTGTAACCCCCTATGCTGATCAAGTGTTTCGGATTCGGGCTGAGCTTCGGAAAAAAAGACTCTCGGATGTCAGTGTAGAAAGAGTGCTGAATGTTCAGGGTAAGTAGTAGCTGTAAGTATAAAAGATCTGCTATGGAAATCAGAAGTATGACTGTTCAAATTAGGGAAAAGTTATTCAAATTATCTTAAAATGTTTGGTATTAGAGCTGTGACATAACCTGAAATGGGCATGAATGCTGATTAGATCTTATTCCAACATTGTAAACCAAAGCAATAAACTTATGCATGTAAGATTATTTTATTTTTATTTTCCTTCAAAACAAAGTTCAAGCTTATTTCAAAAGTTAATTGATTTACTGGAAAAAGTGAAAACTGATATATATTTATTGTTAGGTGGAAAACAGAGTTTCAAATAAATGTGTGACAAGACTTCAGCCTGAGAACATCCTGTTGATTTTTGCAGTTATAAAATACTCTGCAAAAAAGGGGTCTGCAATCTTAGGTATTTGTGCATAGGATCATACTGATAACACAGGAATTTTTGTGTAGGCACAGCATGTTGCTAGGTTGCAGTTAAGTCAGTAATAAACGAAGGAGGATAAGTAAGTAGCTGAGTGACAGTAGATGGTTTGTTTTGTTCTTTCATAATAGGTATCTGAATTTATGTGAATTTGAGAGGTGCTAAAATATGAAATGGGAATGTGCAGCACAATTTTTCCATAGTAGAAAAATAAATTCAACAGTTTTTATTGTCTGAATGGAAACACTATAAAGATGATCAGAATTTCAGAAAGTTCTGGAGAGATTAGTAACAAGATGAAAAATAAGTGTTTTAAAGAAGAGATATTCTTGTAATAGAAAATGCTATTTATAGTGCATCTTCTAAAATTTTTAAATCTTATTATTTTTGCATAAAGCTCTGTGTGTGAAGGGTAGCTATCAATCCTTCAGAATATCCAGGTGTGAACTCTGCCCGGCAAGCACAGCGATCCGCTTGTATTACTAGCAGAAATAGCTTAAATTATCTCAGACATTTATTTTTTGTTTCTTTTTAGGAAAACAATTCAGAGTTTTGTTTCTCAGCACGGTACGGACGCGGCATACATGCAAACATAAGCAAACACCAATTAAAAGGAAAGAGCAGTTACTGGAGGACTCAACAGAAGATTTGGATTATGGTTTTCTATCTAATTACAAACTTCTCAACACTGCCATTACAAGAGCACAATCCCTCGTAGCTGTGGTGGGAGATCCCATTGCTTTATGTTCCATTGGAAGATGCAGGTACTTTATATATGTTTCTTAGTTAATCAGGACTCAGAATACTAGAAAGCATATGTTAATGTATATCTGGTGGATTTAATAAAATCATGGATTTTCTTCTAGGTGCCAAATAAGACACAAATATATTTAAATCCATAAATGAAGTGTGCTGTGAAGTTCAAATTCCTCATATATATCACCAAGATGGAAATCTGGGCGTTAAGTTCCCGGCCCGTGCAGAGGCCTGTGGCTTGTCCAAAGTGCTCTGCTTAAGCTCAACCCTTGGCCAGAGTAGCCCCTGTTGATGGGACAGTGTCAGTGGGTGACACAGGAATTCTTGAGCCACCATCTACCAGCCTCGGGAGCTGGAATCAGCCACGTGAAAGGGTTGCTCCATCCTCTCATTAGAAAATCTTGCGGAGAGGCAAGAGAAGGGAAACCCTTCTACAAAGAGTAAAACTACCCATGGGAGCAGGGCATTTTAATATCCTCTAAGGGTAGACAAGTCTGACTTCTTTGGTTTTTGTTTTGTTCTCTTTTAAATTACTTATTCAGAGGCACATTGTCACTGTGGGTAACAACCTACAAAGAAAAAAAGGTGAAGTATCTCCCACCTGCGCAGCTCAGAGGCACATTGTCACTGTGGGTAACCTACAAAGAAAAAAAGGTGAAGTGTCTCCCACCTGCGCAGTGATAAACTCCTTTATGTGTTTATTAACACTCTAATTTGAACTTGATGGTAGCTATTGAAGACCTTTCATTTTATTTTCAGTGTTTTTTCAGTACATCTGGTATAATTTTACATGGAAATAAAAGTAACACCATTGGCAGTTCAAAGAGATTTAGGATGTAATGTAATATATATAAGTTGAATGTTGTGGCAGATATGTGACAGTGGAAGGCTGAGAACTGCTGTTTATATATTTTTATGTCTTTGTGAACCTGGGAAGAAACTCTATAGGACTTGAGTGAATATACTTTTTATAGACACAAATGAAGAAATGTGAGAAATGATAAGAGATGTAAGCACTGATTTAAGGATACCAAGTACTTGTTCTTCAAAGGTTTCTTTTTCGATGGAAGAGCTGAAATGTTAAACTGATCAGAGATAAAGCCTGAGGCTTGTTTCTGGGAGAGAGGAAACACTGCACTGACGGTGTTATTATAATAGAGCTAAAAATACATAGAAGTGAGTTGTTGTATCTACATTGTATTTCACTTTTCTGAGCAGTGTTCCTTTACTGGGATGAAAATGGATGTGGTTTTCAAGATCAGAATTGAAAATTTCAAATGTCACCTAAAACGTCTGTTCACAGCATTTATGAAATACAACCTGAGTCTGACTTACCTGCTTGAGCCACACTGAGAATATCATTACATGTTCCTGTAGTAATCTGATCTCAAGTGCTAATAGGTTATTAATAGAGAAGTGACCCTGCGGTTCGCTTTCACTTTCCCCATTACCTGCCTGGTTTAGACGTGGCCTGGATCTAACTCCCTGGTGAGCAGGAGCTCTGGATTTGTAAGGGATGAGAGTCCGTTGCAGTTGGCTCGTGCCGTCTCCAGGTCATCAGCTCAAGCTGCCAAGATACATGACTTAGTTACACAGGTTGCCATGATTCCCTGTCTGAGATTTCTGATACTACTTGTGCAGAAATTGGCTCTAGTTGATGACCTGTACTTCTCTTTCCCCCAGTGGGGTTCATGGTGCAAAGTGTTAGCAAAGTCAGGGAGCAGGATCCCCTAGGTAGGACCATTGTGGGCTCTCTATGTGTCTAAGCCTGGTTTTTGTTGGAGGATGATGAATCCCAGTGGAGAAGATGCTCTCTTGAGTACTCAGGTAAGTCTGGATGTTGAGGGTTTTAAATTAGGCACCTGCAAGAAACTTAGTTTTCAAAAGCTCAGTGGTTCCTCTGAAGCATCTTTTGAAGTGGCTCTTCGAAGTAGCTCCAGTGGGGCATGCAAAAACTTACTAAAATAAAAGGATAGACTATCAGCAGAGTTCCTGCGTTACGGTCTTGGCAGTTAGCGATCCAGTCTGCCTTTCTAGGACCAGCAGCTGTTTACATATACTCTGTTCAAAATTGCCCAACAAAAAGGTAATTAAGAAACAAGCAGCACTGGAGCTTTATTAAGATGTATCTCAGGCTTTGCTTTTAATACACCATTGTCTTGTTTCACTGAATAATTGAACGTTCGCTCTTTGAAAGTAGTGCTGGAGGGGCTCCGGCATGCTGGAAAGATGCTGCTTTTTTAGTATGGCAGGAGGAGAGAAGTCTGAAAGAAGTGACATTTCGTTAGGAAAAGCAGACCTCAAAAAAAGTTTAGAGTACTTGAATTTTATAAATATTCTAATACCTGTCAAAATGAGTCAGGAATCTGTAACGATGGTTGTAGAGAGCTCTGTGAAGTGTGCCCTGGGTAATCATTACGTTTGTGCGTGTTACAATCAGAGTCGACAGGGCTGTTTTGGCAGACACTCCCTTTAAACTGGAGAGCACCCTGCACGACACAGCAGCATTTTATTCTCTGTTCTCGCACCCCAGCACAAGCACTCTGTGCATAGGGCGCTTTCAGCAAAAGGCTGCAAGTCTCAGTGGATTTATGGTAGTTGGCAGTAGGTTTGGTGACTGAATTGGTTAATCGGGAGGGAGTTTCATCACTAAAACATCCCAAGGAAAACCTTCCTTTTGGTTTTAAATCCTCGCTTAAAACCTTGCAAGAGATATTTGCCCTGCAGCAAAATGCAGAAAAGGGGCCATCTTGCATACTCAATTTTAAGAGAGCTTATTGTGTTTGCTTATGTAGAATCAACAGAAAATGGACTTTGAGGGGTAGCTACTTCAGATTGTTAAATGGATCATTAACATTACAGTGTTCTTGGAAGAAAGTTCCAAAAATGACAGCCACACAGCAAAATGTGACATTCCTATTGAAGTGAGAGATGGCTATATACTAATTTTACAAGTTTTGGGGAGAAAACATAGCAGTAGCAGACTTTCCTTACTGGTCTTGCTTTATTACTGAAGAGTCAGCTAGAATTTTATCTTGCTCATAAGGACAAAATGTTTAATTTTTAAAGTACAGTGTTTTATGTGTGCAGACTGGTGTGATACCTGCAAAATGAACTTCACTGTTTTCTGTAAAGCTCTGTGGCGGTACCTGAAACAAACACCATTAGTGTCTTGGCTTCTGTACAAATTATTTATGCATAGTGGAAATATGCTATATCATCTTTAAGCTTTATTTGACATCTTGTAGTGTACAAAATAGTAATGGATTCTTATTTGCTTGCTGTAAGTATGGAAGTTTTCAGTAATTTAATTTTCATTTGTATTGAGGTACTAAGGAGTGAAGTTAATGTTTAAATATCTCTCAAAACACCTTTGCAGCGTTAGTCGCTGGTCTCTTCTTGCCCTTTATTATGGGAAACGAATGGGCTGATGATGGGAACGGTACGTGGCTACCTTCACCAGCTCAGATTTCCTGCCTCAATTAAGCAGGATACTTTTGGGATTCACTTCATCCCAGTCTTATCAATATTTTGCAAAGTACTGCTCTCTGTGTCTCAAAAGAGTAGGTCTGCGAGCGTATCTCAACTTTGATATTTGTGATGCCCAAGCTGAGTGACCTGCCTAGTTTCATCTTCTGGGACTGGGAGTTTATGTAAACCTCACAACTTTTTGAGTTTTAATAAATTCTATAAATCACGTTTTCCAAAATTTTCAGCAGTTTGCTGTGTTTGCTCTTCAAGGAAAAAATCTACGTTGGAGTCATCCATGCCATTAATAGTAGATGTTATACAGACCCAGTGCTGTGATGTGATATGCACAGAAAGACCCATATGTCTCTTAAAAGCCTGGGGAGCTTTGCATTAGGCTGTGGGATTCAGATGCATAGATTAACTTGCTGGATTGATGGCCTGGTGTGTAATGTGAGCATATAGAAGAAATAAACTCTATTCAGTTATATAAAATCCTCTTTAATTTTAACGACAGCCATTAAGTCTTACTCCTTTTTATTGTTTCTAAAAATTGTTTCCATAGGAAATTTTGGGAAAGGTTTATTGCCCTATGTCATGAGAATGAAAGTCTTCACGGTATCACATTTGAACAGATAAAAGCTCAGTTGGAAGCTTTGGAGTTAAAGAAAACGTATGTGTTGAACCCGCTGGCTCCTGAGTTTATCCCCCGGGCTCTTCGCCATCAGCACTCAGCAAATACCACCAAACAGCAGCAGTCGCCACCAAAGGTAAAGGTTCACTGCTAATGAATTATGTCAGGAATTGAATATAGAAGTGGCTGCTGAGGAATGATATAAACGGTTTATTGGACAAGCTGTTGTTTTAAAATGGCATCTGTGCAATTAGGTATGAGTGCAAATTCTGAAAGGATCCTCAGCAATTTCAAATGAAGGTTCTGCTCTTCGTTATCTCACAATGTTTAGCAATACTTTGGGATTGGTCAGGCTGGAGCTCCTACTAAAATATAAGCCTGGGGTCACTTTGGCTTGTTCACAGACTGTTTAATGGCACTGAATAACTCCTGTCGTGGATCTTGGCCTCATGGTTAAAAAAAGCCAGTGCAAAACTCAATGCCAAGCTGCCTGCACTCAGACTGAAACAACGGGTGGACACAACAGTCCCAGGGAGTAAACCAAATAAGAGCCAGAAATTACTTGGTATTTTCCGTAACTTGGCATTTTAACAGGTTATATCATTTAAAAGAAATTTTCACCACAGAGTTTTTGACAGCACAGAGAGGGAAGCTTTCCCTTTGGCAGTCCTTCCTCAAAGAGATTTTTGTGTTTCTTCGTCTCTTTGAAATGAACACCATCTTTCTCAAGCAGCTAGCGATGTGTCAAAACACTAGGCTTAGAGAAACCCTCAAATTAAAAACTTATTGTTATATTAAATAGTCGTTTCTGCTCACTCATTGTTCACGAGTGCTTTACCAATTAATGCATTTTAATAATAAAACCAGAATATATTAGTGTTCCCTATAGCAAAATGAAAATATTTGAAAATGAAGGTATTCTTTCTTTAAAAAAAAAAAAAAAAAAAAAGGCACAGAGCACTTGCAAATAGTTCTGTACATTTTTCACTCAGTTTGATAGTAAACTAAGCACATGTGCTATAGCAATGAGAAGACATACTTTCAAACTGCCATTTCAAATCTGAAGTGTTGTAACCACCTGTATCATAATTATGCTGAAATCTCTTCTCTCTGAATGTAATTGACAGCTAGCGTGTGGAATGGCAGAATTAAAGTGAGCAGGCAATGCTCAAACCACACAGAAAATGGTTATGATAAGCAGCAATACACTTTGCTGAACTTTTAAAAGCATTTTAAAAGATTTTCTAACTTTTAAAAGTTTTGCTCATTTTAGGCTCTCCACATACGATTTTTAGCATTAAGGTGCAAAAGGCTTAAAACCTGTTGCTGATGTGTTCTACACTGGAAAAATGAGAGGAACAGCCTCCAAATAGGATGTTGTGTGGAGAGTTTATGGACATCCGTGCAGCTCAGGGCTTAGTTTGATATATACTGAAATGAGATATTGCAAGAACAACACCTTATGCAGCAGAATTGTTCGTGAACTCATTTAGAGTTATAAAGAACCTTTATTATTATTTGTTTAGATTTTTTTAAAAGAACACACGTTTCAGTCCTGTCACTGTCACTCTCTGAGCACCAGACAGCAGTGGGATATTGGCCTGCCCTGGACTGCGGCGATGGGTGGCAGAGGGACAGTGCAAGTGCACAGGCCGAGGGAGTTTGGTGAGCACAGCCCCTAATGATGTGGATGTTGTGCATGGTGATGCTGCTACCACAGGGTAGTCAGCACACAGCAAATGGGGCTCTCAATCTGTACAGCTCTTCTGCCTGCTGCTGGCTGCCTGTGCTCCGGCTTTGGCCAGGATTCAGACCCTCGATTGAGATAAGTCAGTGCCCTAGACACTTCAGCTTGTCACTTAGCTCTCAGTTTCGATTTAGTTTGAGTGAATAAAGAGGATGCTTTTATTTAAGGAATGTAATGAAAAGTAATTCTTACTTTATTTTCCAATAATTCACTTTAAAAAGGAGGGGGGCGGAATTCAGAGACGATCTCTTTAATCTAGTTTATATATGAGTTTATGTATGAGTCAGCATTGTCACACCACCTGTCTATGTACCTTAACTAATTTGCTCAAGCCACTGGAAAACTGCCTTGACTTTTCTCCTGGGAGAGGGAAGTTTTGCAGCATCAAAGGCTTTTAAAATTTATTTTAAAATTGTGAATGTATTTAGGTCTAGATTAAGCAAGCATTCCCATTCTGCAAATGACTCTAAGAGCATATGATATTTGAATATGTGCTCACATTTTATGAATATTAACTGTTTAGTTGCTGCCGTAAACTAATGAGAGCATAGGAGGAATAACTCAGTGCCACTGACCTCCTTTCTCATGTACAGTTCACCTAGGAAAAGCAGGTTCCCCAGAGGACTCTCGTCCTTGTCTCTACTACACATTTTGGGTAGCAGTCGCCAAGGCCTAAAAATGCAGAGGCAGATACAGATGAGATAGGGAGGCAATTGCAAAGGAGGCTGGAGGAGTAAAGTAAAACTGGTGCCTGCTGCTTTGCATCCAAGGTTTAGCTGGAACCTGGAGGAATGACTGGATCCTCCTTCCAAGGTTGGTACTGGGTGCTGCTCTAAAAATCTGAGACAGCAGGTGATAAACAAATGAGAAGGACAACCCAAAGCAGCTCACTGGAACTGTTCTTGTGTCTTTGAACAGGCCTTAGTGAGTGAAGGTGAACAGAGAGCCCTGCAGGGAAGGAATGTTGGCTTAATTGAGTTAGTAGCACTTAATAGCCAGCTTTGTGAATTGGAATCGGACAGTTAAATGCATAAGGATAAAATGTTTAGCTTAACTGCTTTCAAATCCTACTTTGTATTTAATTCAATTACTTTGCTCAGTTGAAGTAAAAATATCTTGCTTTAACTTAAGTCTGCAAAACCTCACTGTTATTTTTCCCTTTGAAGGGCAAAGTCCACCATCATAACCAGAATGACCATTTCCCACCCGATGGAATTGGTAAGTGCCTGCTGTTGCTGGAGGAAGTTCTCTGAACTTGCATGGATTTGACTTTAGTAAAGTACATACTCAGTCCATGTCGAATTACTATCTGGTCTGTTTTCTGACAGCCATTTACTTCTTGTGTGCATTTGGGAAACAGAATACAAGCTGGTAAATAGACAGTAGGTATTTCCCAGGCTCTCCTTCCTTTTGCAGGTGTTGGGCACAGTGATTTTAGAGCCTTATCACAGTCCAGGCACTGGCTTGTTAAAAATGATTTTGTTTGAAATTCATTATATAAAATACTAGCCCAGTATATTTACACTATAAAAGTTGAAATGTTATAGTGCCTCTGCTGTTATATGTTTTGGACCTATATTGTGCTTTCACATATCACATATTGTTGGCAGTACTTTTGCAAGGTAACATCTAACAGCTTAGTGCTTTTGTTGTTGTTAATTTAAAAGGCCTTCATTTAAAGCTCATCTTCCCTCGTAAAGAAAGGAGGATAGTTCTGTGTGACTGTTGGCTTGTTTTATTGGTTTGAGATGCTCTTTCATTAATACAGTTACCAGCTACCTGTTTCTCTGTATCTCAACTCCTATTTTCTCCCTTTTCAAATTTCTGAAATGGCATACAGGATTTGTTCTGTGATTAGGCCATTTTCTATCAGACCTATCCTGTAATGAGATTTGCCCTCATGCTTTGTAAAGAGAATTGCTATTAGAATTAAAAAGGGAAACAAAAGAAATAGATGGTCTTCATATTCTTTTTCTATTTATATCTTCTTTATTTTTCAGTTCAGCCCAACCCTTCTGTCCTAATTGGAAATCCTATCCGAGCATATACTCCTCCCCCTCCTCCTCTGGGACCTCACCCCAACCTGGGGAAATCTCCAAGTCCTGTTCAAAGGATAGATCCACACACTGGGACAAGTATTCTCTATGTACCTGCTGTGGAGGAAACATGGTCATGTCTGTGCCTTTGCCTGTAAGAATTCTGTGTTTTTTTTTTTCTTTGTCCATTTATTGTACGTATAAAAATGAATGCTGAGATCAGTTAGTGAATATTTTACAAAGTTTTCCAGATCTTCAGTTCAAATACCTGGGCTTAGCTACCTCTAGGAGTGACTGTACAGAAGGCGACCAGTAAATGAAGACTTAAAATGGAGCTCCCAGAAACAATAGTAGACACTCTAAAAGCAATTTCATGTTAATGCAGTTTGGTGGTGTTTTTCAGCTGTAGGTGTAGGCACACCAGTGAGGTCTGTCCCATCTGACTTGAGACATCTGCATCTTTTGCCTAGTCGACATCTTAGTCACTGGGGAGGCATAGGCAATTCTGACAAAACTTATTTCTCTTTATTGACTTCATACAGTCTAAATGAGCAGCTTTGATCATAGGTAGCTGAATGTAACATGTTTGAAGTGATGCGAAGAATAATGGGATGGATTCCCCATCCAGAACATCACTGTGAAGCAAATTCCTGTCTGATTACTTGCTCTGTGGCACTTAAGAACACAATGAAGACCTTAAGAGACCTTAATCAGGCCTTTTAGGCTACAGTTATATGTGGAATTTTGTACTGCAAATAAAGCTGTCCCATCAAAACTTAACGCAAGTTAAAGACACAGTCTTGGATTTACTTCTGATATGGAGTCACATATTCCAAGAAGAAAGCAAGGAGGAAAGACAGAGGCTATAGAAGTAACCATGGGTTGGAGTAACATGATTCTACAGGATTCTTGAAAACTTTAGGGAAGATATTCAACCCATGCATGGTTGTATATGGATATGCCCTCCAGAATCCTAAGCATCTGCTTAGAGTTCTGCTTAGTTCATTTGTCGTCTTAATAGTTGCAGTCATCTTCTCTGGCAGGTTAGTTTAGGGTTGCTGTGCAGGGACCTGCTGCTAAGAACTCCTGTTTCAGCTGATGTCCTCGATCAGCTGGCAGCAATAGATTGGCTTTCTTTGCTAGGTCAAGTAATTCTCCTTTTTCCTAGCTTACTGGAAATCTGAATTTGATGGATAAATTTACATGCAGTGAGAAGGCCAGCAGCTGTATCTTCATGCTTGCTTGCATTATATTAATATCAAACCAAGATAATATAGAGATTTCTTTTTTATTTTTAAGAGATAATGTATTTTTATATGTTTCCAGTCAAAATAAATGTATGAAAAATAAGTATTTTAAGCTCACCTTCCCTGAGGATGGATTTTTAAATGATAAAGTGGTTAGAATGAGGTACTAATGAGATGTCTTCCTTTAGAAAGAAACTTATTGGAGATGATGTGAGATTGTACTGATGGAATAGTGGCCTAGAGCTAAAGTTCAAAGTGCGCATTTCAAGGACAAATACTAATTTTAAAAAAGAATTGCTTGGAAGATGTTTGCTTAAAATGAGTAGGAATTAAAATATGATTATGTTCATGTAATATAAAATTATTTCTTTTTGATCTATTTTATTTAATTTCACCCACTTCTATTTGTTTAGAAGAGAATTGAATATAAAATCTGTTGAATAGAATTTGTTCATCAATCTTTTCTCTTTTTTTCTTGAAAACGCTGAAACAAGCGTGGTGGGTGTCCTCCTGGCATTTCTGCCCTGGGGAGTCCTCCAGAATCTTCCCCTGTGTTGTCCCTTGCTGCCAGGCCTGTCCTTAGCGCTCTCCCTTTCCAGCACTGCCTGCAGCCGTGTGTCAGTGTCAGGCCATCTGATGTATGGATGACTTCTGGGTAGCAATCTCATATCAATGTGCTTATCACTTTACTTCCTTTAATGCACCTTGACAGACAGCATCTTTTTTATTTTATTTTTATTATGTAGGTACCATGGACGGGGTATCAGGGTAGGTTTGCAGTTGACCCTCGAATCATTACTCATCAAGCAGCTATGGCATATAACATGAACCTGTTACAGGCACATGGGCGGGGGTCCCCTATACCCTATGGCCTGGGACATCACTCACCAGTTAGCATAGGACAACAGCAGCAGCTTCAGCATCAGGACAAGGAGCAACATGAACAAAGTCGAAATGGTGAGTCCTTGAAATTCCAGGGCAAAGTCCTTTCACTTTGAATAAGTTTAAAATTGCAGTGGGAAATTATGCAAAGGGTTGTTTTGTGCTTTTTCCATTTAAACAGAGGGATCTGTGAAAGTTTAAGAGGTTGAGGAAATAAATGATGTTTAGCCATAATAGAATATCTAAGATAGTGTGATGTTCAGAGGAGGGACGTACTGGAAGGCGGTGTAGGGGGCTTGGGTTTGGGCTGCTTCTGCTCTGCGCTCCAGTGATTGCTATTGTTGCAGTGAAGTTAAGAACTACATAGTGATGATTAATGCACAAAGCACGGAGATTAAAGGAAAAGCTTTATTTGGGTAAATTATATTAACTTGCTCTATTATTCTGTAACTGCTGTTTTGATAACTATTCTTTCCAGTGTCTGATGAAACAAAGAAAAAATATTTTTTTTTCCATTGAAACTAGTTAGTTAATTTGCTAAATATTTTTAGGTAAAAGTGAAAACAGTTCTGGACCTGAAATCAGTAAAATTCGGACACCCGAAAAGAAACCTGTGGAATCCAAACAGGTTGGTTTGCTTTGTTGGTTTTTCTTTAATATTCCCTCTGTTCTAGGTATTCTTCTCTTCTTTTTGAGAAGAGATGCTCTCCATCTCTCTGAGTCCTCACATACCTATGTTTTATTCCTTTTTATCAAAGACTTCCTGTCATAGTTACATTTCTATTCCATGACAAAACATCAGTACTGCTCTCTAATATGTATTGAGTGACCTTAGGTCCCTTCTCTTCTTGCCCAGGGTTGAAGTTAAAGTTAATAGTCTGGAATTGACTTTTTAAACCCTTTATTGAGGTAAACACCAATTGCTGGGGTTTTCACTGACAAATAAGTGTTTGCAAAAAGCCTTTTGTTCTTAAACTGTTTTAAAATTGTATTAGTTTGTACATAGTAAGCCTATACCTGACATAAAACAGAACCGTAGTGTCTTTTGAATGTTAGGAATTAGTGGAAATTTCAATTAAAATGCTGCATGACTAGAGATAAACAATCTGCCAGGAAGGAAGATGAACAAGAGAAGAGGCTTATAATGACTGTAGACTGTAGAGTATTAAACTTATGGATGGAGATGCAAATGAGTAAAAGGCGTGATAATCTAAAATGGACAAGTAGAGGATTACTTTTTCTTTTAAATACCTGGTGTCAGTGTCCTAGAAATGAAAACAATAGCCTTGAGGCTTAACAGTTGCATGTAATTAGCTAAATTAGAGAAGATCATAAGATGATCTCTGCAATAGCAGTGGTTGCAGAATGAAACTTGGTGGTGGCAGTGTTCAGTTCACATATAGAAGCCTGAAGAGAAAATATTTGGTATTTTTTCTTAGTTTTCAGTGAATAGAATAGTGGTAATAGAATTAGTTACAAGAGAGGAAAATATCAAAGTCAAGAGTGAACATGAAGGAATTAAAGTTGATTCAGACTCCTGCAGAATATGTTTGTTTTTAAATAAAGGAGTGGTTCTAAGATATTTAACATTGCCCTCCTCACCCCACACAAGTCTTATAAACTTTATTCATTGTTAAATGAATTTATTCATTACTGTCATGGTTTTTGCCTTTTCTTTTTTTTTTTTTTTTGGTAGATTTTCAAGTTTTTTCCCTCCTTTCTTTCTAGGTTGACTTAGAAGCAAATTCTCAGAACAGAAGCCCGGAGTCACGTTCCAGTGCTGGTTATCCTAATGCTAAATTTCATCGCAAAGATAATCTTAACCCCAGGCAGCTGAATCTCCATCTCACCCCTCCCCACTCCCAATATGCAGTTCCCAATCGCCACTTCCAGCATCTGTCACAGATACCAAGGCAGCCATATCCCCTGCAACAGCAGCAAAACCTTTTAAGTCAGCAACAAAATCATTTACCTGAACAGCAAACCCAGTTGCCACCCCAGCAAAGCCAGGTAGTTCAGCAGCATAATCATTTGAATCAGCAGCCTCCACAGCCTTCGCAGCTTTCCCCTGCTTACCAGGCAGGGCCCAGCCAGTCTTTTTTTAATAACCCAGTTCCCCACCGACCACATTCTCCTGCTGTAGATGCAGTGATTTCAGAGCAACACCCCCCACCTATGTTACAAGAAGTCACTAATCCTTTGAGGCCTATTGCACCGCACAACCCGGTTCTGCCAGCCCACTTGAACAACTTCATTGAAGAGAATCCAGCAGCACGGAGACACTCTAGGTAGGTGACCCTTCTTTTAGTGAAATTCAGACTCTGCAGTTCTAATTACCCTGAAGTGAAACTGAAGGAGGTATTTACCTTTCCAGGCATATTGCTGTGAATTGGGTCATTCTTGGGTTAGTTTCCATAAGTAATGTCATTGAGCATAATTTTCTGCTTAAGGCATGTTTGAATATTCAACACTTTATTAAAAGATTCATGTTTATAGGATTTTCTGTATCGTTTAAACAACCAGGTTATGCACTGAAATGCAGTTCATATATAATAGGCCCTGAAATATACTGTTAAAAAGTTTTTAGTTTTTTGGTTGTTTTTGACATCAACAGCTTTAATAAACATTAGGTAATTTTTAAAACTCTTTTTTTGCAGATCGTATGCATGGAAATGTAGCTTTGGAAACAATAAGGCAGCAGCAACAAGCCAGGTTACAGCAGTGGAATGAACACAACGCCTATCTCAGCCAAGGCAGCATTCCATATCCACACCATCACCATCCCCACCTACCGCATCTTCCCCAGCAGCCCATGGGATTGCATCAGCAGCAGCAAGTGAAGGCAAACTGGAAACTTGCCACTAACCCAGAAGATGAAACAGAGGCAACATATACAAGGTATTCCTTTACCAAACCCTCAGTGTTTCTATAAAATTAAACAGAGGCATGTTATCTATAACTTAAAGCTACTACAAAGTCCTGCAGTTGTTGTGAGGGTTAAAACGGTAGGTAGGTGTGTTTTGTGTTATGTGCTATTCTGTTAGCATGCTGGATAGTAAAGGTGTACTGGGAAATAACAGATTTATGGAGTTTCTCAGTGCTTTATTTATGGAATAGGAAATGGATAGAGAGAACCTTGTAGTGTTTATAAAAAAGCATCTGAGTGTAGTTTAAAGCGTGTTGAGAATTCTTCAAATTGAATTAGCAATAAAAGTAGCAGTATTAGAATTCTATGCTTACAAAAGCAAAGCACAACAAATGCCTCCCTCCCAGCGCTCTTTCCCAGTGAAGCCTAAATTTTTCTTCACTTTCAAAAAGCTTTTGCTGGTTTAAAAAAATGTGCTTAGTTTTGAGATGGAGAGTTAGAAGACAGAAATGAAGCTATTGAACATAAAGAGGTAAATGGATCTTGTGAATAAAGCTGACAATCACATATGTTTTAAAGACTAGATTTTTAAATTTTCTCTGATTACTGTCAGCTTCCACTATGCTTATTTTACATCTGAACTGTTGTGGTAAAGCCTCCAAATGCTTTCTTATCTGATTCCATAATGTTCTGAATTGAACATTCTCAACCTTCTGAAGTTGGGACATATATTCTACAAACGAGGGAAATCCTGGATTGTTCTGTTCTTTTGCCTTCTAAGGAGTTAAAGTTTTCTTTAACTGCTTTTAAGTTTTTCACTTGTGTAATAAAGTCAGAAATTCTTAGTTGTCTCTTAAGAGATAACAAAAACTTGATTCTTATGACTGAAAAGCAAATCTCGAGTTCTTAAAACTTTGAGATGATTCAGGTAGGTATTTCATCCAATTAATCCTCTTGTGCCTAATTTTTGACTGCTCACAGTCATATCCTTTGAAGTTGGGGTCAGTAAGCTCAAAGATGATATTTAAATTGAAATTCAGTGTTTTGTGCTTTAAGTTTTCTCAGCCTCAAAAAGAGTGGATTTTTAGCAAAACGACTTTTTTTTTTTTTTTTCCGTGATAACATTTTTTTTTTTTCTGTCAATACAGATTCCAGGATTTGCTCAGAGAACTGTCACACCGTGATCAAAGTGAAAGTCGGGACTTAGCTGAAATGCCACCCCCTCAGTCAAGACTGTTGCAATACAGACAAGTTCAGCCCAGAAGCCCACCAGCACTCCCTTCTCCTTCCTGCAACTCTAATCACAGCGGTCACTTTCCTAACTTCCCAGAAAACAACAGAGACATTGAAATACCCAATAACCCAGCATTTCAGCAGCATTTACCCCAAATATACAATCCCCCTTTCTCAATGCCATCTGAACATATAACCCCATCTCCCTTGAAATACCTGCAACCTGATGGATCATGGACTTATGCTAACCTACAGCAGAATCACCTAATGGGGCAGGGCTTTCATTATGGTATACCTCCATTGCCCCATAGATCACAACAAAACCCTTTTATACAAATACAGAATCATCAGCATGCAGTTGGTCAGGAGCCATTTCATCCACTCACATCTCGAGCAGTATCTGCTTCTTCGCTCCACAGCTTAGAAGAGGTAGGGGGTTTTTGTCTACTTATGCATGTGTGGTGTCATTTTGTTATGAAGTTATGTTTTGAAATGATCAAGAGTGCAAAATACCTCACGTATTAAAAACTCCTGTTGGAAATTCCTTTGAGGTAAAATTTTTCTGTATGTCTTCTCAGTTCATTCTGTGTACAGCTGCAGCTCTCATCCCTGCAGGTGCCACATTTTCTGCACTAAGTGGTAGGTCTCAGCTTTCAGAAGGTTACTCAGAAATTTTTGTAGTCGTTGGTCAGATATCTGGTCATTGTTTACCTCGAGTGCAATGTTCCAGGTGAAAACATTTTAAATGCCTTGCTGGAAAGTCAGTTTGAACCAGCTGTCCAGTTGGCTCAGTATTAAAACAGGGTGCGGATGGCTGTGTTACTTGTCATACTACTTTGCTTCTGTCTTAAATTAGTTGCTTTTTCATGGTAGAAAATCCAATATAGTAAATCCCACCTAGCCTGACCTGACTCACTGTAAAGCCCTCTTTTGGGGGAACTCAGAGTTTGGCCAGCAGCGCAGAGATACCCATCTGTGCAGCAGGAAGAGGGGTCCAGCCCAAACCCTGCGGCACCAGGGCCGGCTCCGTCGCTGGCGGTCGCTGCGAGCCAGAGATCCGGGTACGGGCTGGGACCGTGCGAGCGAGTACAGCTGGCTCACGTCGGGCTCTGAACAGGAATTAGTATTCCCTCCTCGAAAGCAGAATGCTAAGGGGTGGGAGATGCGGACATTTAGTTATATGCAGACAACAGCCAGGTTCTGCTGCAAGAATGCTGGAATTAATACTCGGGTAATTTTAAACCACTGCATGTGATCCAGTATTTCTATGTAAAGTTAAGTGGTGTTTGTCCTGTGATAAAATTTTTCTAGGTTTCTGCACTAGCTGTGGCATCTTTGCTCATCAGTTTCCCATATAATACATATTTCATTGTCTTTTGATTTTTGGAAGTAGAAAAGATCTTACTTTTTATGTGTCTGAGTGAAACATCTGAAATTGAATTCCACTGTATTTTACAAATTTCTGTCTTTTACAGATTCAGAGAGGTTAACAGAGTCCTCAAAGTCCTAGCTAGAGCTCTAGTAAGATCTGGTTTTAGACATTTAGGAATTCTCTGTCTCAGTCCATTAAACCACACCACCTTGCATAAAATCTAATATTTTGTGACAACAGTTAATGCATCAGTACAGCGGGACATAAGAACAATGGCTCTTCAGCAGTAATAAACTAATAAATATTCCGACAGAGTTTCTGACAGCTCCTGCTATCTGAAGACAAATAGAGTGAGTCTTTATGTAATTAGTGCAAATTCATTTTAGTTCTTATTTCTCTTTCTTTTCCAAATATGTGACAGAAATGCCAAATGCTGTAAAAGTGACTTAGAAAGTTTCCAAGCGATCCGGTTCAACTAGTAGATAGAACTGAATACGTGAAGAAGTCAAAGCACAGTCTTAGTTGTGTTTTAACAGAGATTCCTCCTATGAGGCAGGTTTCAGTGAAGATGTAATAGCTGTTAGCATTTTAGAAATCATTTCAAATCCAGAATTTTATAATTAATTTCTATGTGACAGTACAAAACCACTGTTTTTGAAATGTATTCTGAAGTAATGTTTTTTTTTTTTTAGTTTAGGATACTTATAGGTAAGTAAAAGAATAAATAACCTTGTCAGACAACAGAGTGGTTAATTCACAAGCTACATAAGTTTAGCAGCGTGAAGATTTTGAATGCTGGTTAACTGGTATATTTTGAAGATGGGGTTCTTGACGCGTGCCCAGTGATTACAGGCTTTCAGAAGCCTCTCTGTCATGTTTAAACCCATTTAAATGCATTAAAAACAGGGATGCTGCAGATTTTACGAAATAAAATTTGTTACATGCAAGGTATAATGTCCTTGAAAGGATTGTGAATGGTTATTTATACCATCTGCCAGAGCTTTGTGTAACTGCATAAAGCCTCTATATGAATGTCGCTCACAGAAGTATCCTGTTATCAAATATTGCAATATCCCTATAAATGGGCGCTAATGCGGCACCTTCTAATGCACCTTCAATTTCACTGTTAATCACCACTGGTAAGAAGAGCATTGTCCAAATCACCTTATTTTAAGTTGTGGTTAATTTTGTCTAAACCTGTAGGATTTCTTGCTTCAAGTTAAGCATGTTCTGAAATAATTTTGCGGCGAGGACCAAGAATGGTCTTTAAAACCACAAAGAGTTTGAGCAGGTATCTTTTAGTATAAAAGTGGAAAAACTTTAAAACTGCTAATAATTTCCTTTGATGTAATTTATAATAGAAAAGGACAAGCTAAGGACAGAAGATTGACAGTATATCGTATTTATTTTGAAACATTGTTGTCGTCTTTTCCATATTAAACTATTTCCTAGATCAGTATTTCTGAGTGTTTGCATGCAGATAGTCAAACCAGATTTCAACTGCAGATCAAAGGGAATACCAAACTTGCTCTGTCTGGTCGGTACTTGCAAGTGTCCAGAACTTTGATAACTTCCTAATTGCTTATCAAAAATGTGAAATTACCCATTAAACTCAATAAAAAGGATACCTTTAGACTTTGATTTGGGCTGTAACTTCTGCTTGTTGTTTTTGTTTTTAATGTGTATCCTCAAGAGAAAGCGGTGACAGGAGTTCAAGTGTGTTTCCCTGATATATCATAATAATCTGGCAGCTGTAATGAGTTCTTACAATTTCTTTCATGCACTCTTTTTTTTGGCTTTCTTTTTTTTTGGATGATATAACAACAGCTATGGGGCAAGTTCTTTTGTATATGCGTGGCTAATTTTTAATGACATTTCATTAGGATGTTTACTTTTCCTTTTACCAAGTATAGATCTACTTCAATGGCTTTACCTTCATTTGCACTCTTCAGTGCAGAAGAAAGCGATAACTGATTCCTTTAAACAAACGAATAAAATGAATGTCATGGGCTTGCCTTGAAATCTTGAGTAAGTTTAGAGGCTCCTTAAATCGGAGCTCTTGAAGACAGCAGGAACTCCTGCCCTTTTGATCTGCAGGAGCTGCAGGATTTATGGAAACAAGTAATTTCTGTGGCTTCAGCTGAAGTTCTTTTCATTATTCCTCTTGGGAGGACACACTTCACTGCGCATTGGTGCTGTGTGTACATATGCAGAAGGCAGCACACAGCTGGGAGAGCACACTCGCCCAGCCCTGCTGTACAAGCCCTTCATTTGTCCTTCGGGAAGTAAAAGCCAAAGATGCTGGGTGTTTTTCTCCCTCTGTCCTGATTTTGTTTCCCCTTGCTCCTGTATGTTTTTGTGTTCCCCTTACCTTGTTTGTAAATGCTGGGAATCTTTCTGCTCACGGTATTGGATGCAGAGATAAGAAGGTCGATGGGCAGATGAGCACTGAGGCAATGCAGTTGGAGCTGTGTGTGCCTTCTCTCAGCAATACGCCTGCAATATGTGCTTGTGTGCAGAGGATGCCTAGAAATGGGTTCGATTTTTTTCTATATGCAGTAAGTTTTTTGTTTGTTTAGTCAGACGTAATAGCAGGTAGATTTACATGTAAGGCTGTGGGAAAATAGCATAATACATGAATGAAAGGATTAAAAAGTCTTTTTTCTTTTTTTTCCTTGCAGTATGAACCAAGAGGACCAGGCAGGCCGTTGTACCAAAGAAGAATTTCCTCTAGTTCAGTCCAGGCTTGTTCTGAAGAATTAAGCACTCCTCAAGACAGTCTTGGTCAGTGTAAAGAGCTTCAGGACCACAGTACCCAGCCCTCTTTCAACTACTCGTCCCCTGAGCTGTGGGTGACCTCCTCCTCGGCCGCCCCCTTCCCAAACATTCCATGCAACGGCTCCGGCCCCGGTCCCGGCCCTGGCCCCGGCCGCCCCGCTCCACCCCGCGAGCTCCTTGGTAAGCACCCATGGGAAAGTGTTTTCTCTCTCCACAAAATATCTCCTCCTGCCTTCTCTTCAAATCTTGCAGCTAACTTCAGCAAGCCTCCCAAAAGTATTCCTTGTGTCGGCAGTTCAGTGGTCGATTACAGCAGTTGCACTTGCTGTATTTTCCCATTACTAGGATTTTGCTACGTTGCAGGTGTCTACTGAAGAATCCTGCTGAGCACGAGTAGTTCCTGTAGCCCAGACAGTCCTGCTGCTTAGGCTTCCCCCCGTCAAAAAGTAGCTCATGCCAGTAAATCACCATTTTTGTAGGTGCTGTGCTTTTTGCACTCACAGCTGCCTAGCTGTGCTGATCGCCTGTAAAGCCCAAGCGTTCCTCCACGCTAAGGTTTAGAGCCCAGTAGCTTCCGTGCTTCTGGCTGCTGTTGATTTTGATCCGTGAGATGGAGCCGCTCCGAGCGGATCCAGGCATCGTTGCCGAGGAGTGAGCGATCCCAGCGCAGGGGCTGCCGCGTCTCGGGAGCCTTCGGGAGGCTCTGATTTACGGCGGGCGAGGAGGGGTGCTCAGCGCTGTCACGGGTCGGCCCGATTGAAATGGCAATATGAGAGCTGGATTTGCAGCCCACTGTCCTTCTGCTTAAGGAAGAAACAGCTTTTATTCCTTATGTGCAGTTAAAGCTTTTTCTCTATTAGATACCTTAGCCACATTGAATTTCCACCTTTGGTCCTGCTTGTCATTAGCTGGCTTCTTTTGAGTATGAAACTTTTATTATTTCTGGGCTTTTTCTTTTCTGAGTTTTTATAAAAAAGAACTGGTGCAACCCCTCCAGTGAGAAACAAACTTTTTTTTTTTTTTAAAACACTTTTGTAGTCATTTGAAAGTACATTCTTGTATGTTCACTTTAAAAACAACACTATAAAGACTGAAATAATTATACAATATATCCAGCTCCTAGACTATAGTAGATATAAAGTATACATGCACTCTGGAGTGGAGTTTCTTTATATAAGACGGTAGAATTCCCAAGAAAAAGTAAGGTAGTTCATTAGGATTTGGGAAATTCACTTGGAAGTGGCTTTATATATATGGTTGAAAGCATATTTTTTTCCAGTAGTTACAGGA